GCCTGGGTGGATGTGGTTGCCCTTGGTCTTGGTTCTGTCTTGGACCACTCGCGACCGTGACATTCAATGGGATATTACTGACAGCCTTTATAGGGCCAATCTTGGTGTTGGTTTGGATAGATTCCTGCTCCCTAGCAGGACTTTATCAGCCACTCCAAGGGATAGGTGCTAGGTGTGGCGATAGGGTCTCGGTTTCCTTGAATGAGGACAAAGATGTCGACAACGTTGTTCGGACTGAGGGTTTGACTAACCTAGGATGCTGAACGTCAGCCGCTCGGTCGGGTTTGTCCTAGGTGGTGGCATTCTTCGTCACTTTTTGATACTTCTTAGCTGCAGCCCTAGAGAAAGTGGGATGGTGGGCGATTTTGGTGAAGCTGTACTTAAGGTGTTTCATGGGCAGGCCTTTTCGAAGGTAGCACACTTACTACACACAATAATAAATGGGTAGGAATGATAGCACAGCCAATAAAAAGGGTGGAGTAATGAATGTGTGGAGCCAGTAAAAGGTTGATTGTCGACGTTACTTTCGATTGTCTGTTAATGCGACGCCGTGAAATTCCGAAACCTACCGACAAGTCTCGGACGTAAATGTGAGAGGTATATTTTGTTGAAGGTGCCCCAACCTGAGATATAGCTACACCATCAACGCAGTCGATCGGTTGCGGCATAAGTGGTGATCAAGTAGGCAATCGTGCCTTATACCACAGAATTATGCAAAATCGTTGGATAAGGGGTTGAAAGCTCCCAGTGGATAGCCGTAAATGTGAATTTTGTCGGGCGGAATGGAAGTGAGCGAGAACACGTTACCATTCAGAGAGCGCGCCATAGGGACTGCAGTGCCATTTGTTGACAGTAAAGGTTTGACTCCGGCATATCCGCTAGGACCCTTTTCATAAGCAAATCAAATCGATTGGCCTCCGATCCTCTTTGTCGTTTCCAGAGGGATATTCGGAAGGTAACTGAGCACAGCGAGTGAGGAAATTTGGACAATCTTAAGTGTGTTTTGTCAATTTTTTCTGAACTCAGAGCATAAGCATTTCTGAATAGACATTACAGGAAAGAATAACGTCACAACTGATATAACAACCTATCTGCTGCTTAAATCTCGCGAAGCACAGTGGGGGAGATATAAAAACGAGTTGAGGCCCATAGCGAATGTTACTGCTTCCCACCCTTTGGTAAGAAAGTGCACTTTTTGGGAAATTCAGAAGGCCATCACCGAGGGAAGTAAACAGAGGTCAGCTTACAGGTGGAAATAATTATTACAGACGAGGATTGCCCAGACAGATATTCAGGCAGGTATGTGCTGTTGGCATTGGGCAAGATATAATCTTCCTCCCTAACCACACAAAAGCGATCGCTACCATATTCATCGCGAGACTTAACTCAAAGTGCTCCATAGATACCTGACAACAGGAAGGTAGGTATACTGGGTTGGTTTCTAAGTAAGTGTAATAATGCGATTCATAAGACCCCTATACGCTTGCTCAACTTTTGAATGTGGCCAGCGCAGTCACAGCCAGCTGTTACTGGTCAAGCAAAACAACTGTCTGCTGAAAGCCGGTGCACCAGAAATTTGAAGATCCAATGATATGAATATTCCATACGTAGGCCCTTACTAACCAACAATAAAACTTTTGGCCGCTTGTTAGCTTCACTGAAAGGGAGATTTTTATCGCTTACTTCGGTAGATTCTTCAACTCAGGACGAGTCATGTACGTCTACTTTTCTAAGTAGATTCAACACTTCTCTGAAATCTACACGCGCACTCCTTGAGTAGTGACGTGTTTCGCTCGTCTCTCAGCTTTTGGATTTTTCCACAATGAAAAACTCCCACTTGCAATACTCAATCTAAAAACATCGAACGTTTGCAGCACTTCTGTCCGTCCACGCACCTCACCCCTGCGCATTCGTCAGCTCACTCCTCAACAGTTGAAAATTGGCATTATTATTCCTTTGAACCAACCGGTCTACCTCCTGTCAGTGGTTCTTGGGCGTTTCAACTGCCAAACTGCCTTAGCTCTCGGTTCTCCTCGGAGGTCATTCCCCAGGAAATATCTTTCCTGGTTATACATACGCATCTGGAGCTTACGGTTAAACTCGTTGGTCAAGAGCAGAGGATCAAGTGACAAGTGTCTGAAGGTGAGCCAACATAAATTATCTTCCCTTTTCTATTCTGTCCTTTTGCTGCATTCAGTCTTCAACCCTCTTATTGTTGTTAACTACTTGTTTTCCCAAGAAGTTTATATCATAGCGACATGTCTGCCCAAAACGCTAGGTCTGAAGCTTTGACACGGATAACGCGGTCGTGCACAAAAACGGCCAGTAACACCCTAAACAACACACTAGTCTGTACTAGAAGACAAACAGAGGTAGGGCAGAACAACGAACTTCTGAAGAAGTGGCCAACCCATGTTTCTAGAATTCCAGTAGCCATCAGACAGGTGACACAGAGTAGCACTAGCCCGTCACAAACTAGTCCTATCTTGAGCAAGGATCATACCATGCCTGAAATAGAAGACGACGTAAAAGGCTTCAGAACAAGGCAGCCACAAGCAGTTCGCCACAATCCGTAGCACCTTATTCATGGAAGGAAGGCTGTATTACGACACCCGATGGCTGCAGTGTTTGCACCAAAGTTGTTTCGGTAGTCGATGAGGCATTTGCATGCAACCTGTGTCAACGATGGGCGCATTGCCACTGCGATACCAAAGTCCCCCGACAATACTATAAGCTGATGAAGAGACAACCATGCAAGTGGTTCTGGTACATCTGTCCAGAGTGCAGGAAAATGCCCGCACTCCGCACAGAAAGCCTGAAGGAGATGCTCTCCGCCACGCAAAAGCTACCAGCATCCTCGAATAAAGTAGGGTTAACACCAAAGGATAACACAGAGAGACCTGGAAACAGACCTAGAGCTCCAGCTGTGGGCACGCCACCTCGCGTGGGGACCATATTAGGTCAAGTCTCCATACCCCCTACCCGGCCCCAGGGGACGTCAAGCGCATGGCCAAAGACATCGACCGCCGAAGCCTCTACGAAACCCATTCCGAACACCCCACACACCGTGACTGAGAAACAACCAGTGGAATTACTCAAACCCATTGGGAAGTCGGGCGTGCCACCCACAACGAACCCAGGTCACAGGAGGACCAACTCGATCATTTTGTTCAACGTCGATGTATCGACAGACTCATTGTTGGTCGAGAGGGAACAATTTGACAGCCGAATGTGGACCGACTACTGTCAGATGCTGGGACTCCCTCCCCTCCCTGCAACTTTATGTCGCCTTTCTCGAGGAAGCCATGCACCCCGAGATAAGCCACCCCCTTTACGTGTGTCCCTAAATACCGCCAAAGAGGCTGAAGACACACTCCTTCTCTCGCGACAACCGGACGTTGTTAATGCCTGTAAAATTCGGGCCAGGCCTGACAAGCCATGGTCAATAAGAGAGGAGGAGAGAAAGTCAGCGGTTGGAAATCCCAACAGAAACAACACTATAGTTGTACATGGGATTCCAGAATTGCCAAGTGACAGCTCGGTCAAAGATCGGTACTTTCACGACGTCCAACAATGGCAATGGCTCTCAACCAAAGTTGGTCTCAACAGTATACCGGCCAACAGCGTCAGTAGACTGCCAAGGCCAGCGCACCTGAAGACCATACCCAATCCCAGACTACTTGCCGTCCAGTTCGACTCATATGCCTCCCTCACAGACGTTCTGCACGCATGGTATAATGCGAAAGATCGCATGGGTGGCTCAATACGTATATGTGAAAGTAAGCCTAGACCCACAAGGCAAGAGGAGAGACGGCAACCACCAAGACCTCTGGAGTCAGTGGTCGTCACACAGGCGCTGACCAGTGAGTTAGATACATCAAGTAAAGAAGCCACCACTGCTACAGCCCCCACCCAAGTTAAGAACAAAACACAAAAAACGGAACAATGCCAGTCCTATGAGGACTGGCGAGGCTAAATCAACCACGTAAGCGCTCATCCCGCGAAAATACACATCCAGACCTCCCCTCTCATCAGGCACACTCTAATATGTATGTACAGCAACGTTAGGGGGCTAAGAGGGAAGGTAGCAAAATGAGGACGCTGCGTGAACATCAGCACTCCGACATCATATTCATCACCGAATCCTGGCTCTCATCGGACATCTCCGACGAAGAGATGCGTGTTGCTGGCATGGAACTCTTCCGCAGGGACAGGGAACATAGAGCAGGAGGGGGAGTGGCTATCTACGTAAACTCCTGTTTAAAGGCAAGGATGGTTAGCGATACGGCCTTAACCCAGCTCCCAGAGTCTCTATGGTGCTACTTCACTCTCTTCTTTATTCTCTCTTCATTCCTTTACCACTACCTTACTATTCTCTTTCAGGTACCTACACAGACAGGAGTCATGGCAGTTCTCTAAACTTCCCAGCAACCCGTAGCTCCCTAATCACTCTACAAATTACAACCTACTAACCCACAAAACATCCACCTCACCGAAGCTAAAAGCAAGAAAGCAGAGGGATTTCCTCGTCCACTGCAGGAGTAAACCGAACAACTGGAACCAAGCCCTAAGAACTAGACGCGAGAGATCAAAAACTACCAGTTTTCTACGCTCGCACTATCAATATTGGATATTGGATATTGAACATTTCGTGCTATAGTAAATAGGTAGCTAGATGTAGTGCTTTCTGGTCTCAGGTGGTTTCGAAAGTCTATTTTACAGCCAGTAAGCCAATGTGAAGAGATCAGCTACTGTACAGATACTCACAATAAAAAGAGAGGGTATGGGGATTAGATTAATCCATGGTTATATTTTCTTTTAATATTTGTAATGATACAAGAAAAAACACAAAACATCTGCACTTTAAGTATTCGTATGCACACTTGTATGGAGTAGGGCACATACAAAAAAGAAAGTCGAAGGTGTATCCCGAGTTCTTGTTAATATCCTTCGACTGGTCATTCCTCTCAACGGCGGGCTGGTTAGGAATTCGCTAATTTATGGCAACTTCATCATCAGATAATCTCCTGGATTCAGATAGTGATGCTGATAGGCATCATAGATGTTCACCTTATTCTTCAAGGTTTGTTTAATGTTTGTATGGACGTATTTTTACCCAAAAGGTTGCACCAGCATTCCAAGCACAACTATGTTTTCAAAGGATTTATCTTACTTTACTATGACCTCATTTCCAACTCGACATAATAGTTGTCTGTCTTAGACTTCCGAATTCCGTCTGAAAAAAATCTGTCACTATTACAGGGTTACTATTAGGTCTTTGTTTAAGAAATCATAACAGTCTTTGCTGACATGTGTAAGATATCCACATGGGTACCTTTCTTTTTCGTCACCAGGAGCGAAGTTATTCTCTGACATCTATGCAAAATAAATTCACTAGTGTTATGTGAGGAGAGTGTGTGTTGCATCAAACCTGATAGGTTTGCGTAAAGTGAAATAGAAGACTTCATCACTGCCTTCTCCCGTTACTCACCTTAACTCATTTAATTCATTTGCATTCATTCTATGTTTCACAGAAGATTCTACATCTTATGAGAAAACAACTTGATATCGCCTGCATTCACGGAGAAATAGAGTAATTGACTCTATGTGTAAAGGAAACGTTTCCATATTGTTAGGCTTTGGCTGTTTATATAGAAGTAAGGAGTTACACGTGATGTGTTGTGAAACGGTGCAGCTAAAAGTTAAAAATTTTCGTAATGAAATCCACTTTAATTCACGACTACAGAAATCAGTTGGAGACTATTAAATTCCCAATTCACGTCATACTACTGTATCAACTTTAGTTTACTGTTAATTGTTATTAGCAAGTCATAAAGCAATATCCTTATTTTTATAAGTACATCGAAGACCGTTTGGGAGTCGCTCAAGGATTACAAGACTCTCTGGTGTAACCAATGAAACGAGACAAAGTCATAGATGGGTCTTAAGTGTTGTAACGAGAAGGTACGTGGTCGGTTTCTACCGTACTACCCTTAATACTCAACTCGCATTACTGATGGTTTTTTGTCAGTAGTGAAAAGACTTGGACTGTATACGACAATCAAGCTGATGAAGACCATGCACAAGTGTGGGTTTTTGCGTTTTCTGCTTGATGCAACGCCATGGAGCTCTGTCCGGTACTGCCAGCATATTTCCTGGGAAGCGTAGTTGGTTCAAATTGATGACGTGTGACTTATTTACCTCCCCTCCTTAACACTACTTAACCCCATCGTCACTTCGTACCCCATCAAACCACCACTTATAAACCATATTTACCCAAGAAAATGTAATCTATCGATTTCGAAAATCGTAACTCATATTCATTCACTAAAAAATGCGCTAATGTGCAGTAAATCTCCACATAAACAGAAATGTGAATGATTTCCACTCAGTGCAGTATGAAATGCATACTTTTGAGTCGCAAATCTACTGGTCACTCACCCACTCAAATCGATCTAGCTGTTGTAACAAGTGGAGGATCTGGACGGCTCAACTGAACCACTTTATATTCTTAAACTCGACATCAAGGCACGCTAAGATTGAGGCATCATATATCTTGGAAGGGAAAAGCAAAATTTGCCAAGTCTTTCAGTCCTGCTATTAAAAAGATTGCAATATAATGTTGCGGCATAGAACAATGCTGTCGAAAGTATGTCATTGTTACAGAAAAAATAGGTTGGATATGCCTAAATCTGCAGCATATTCATTCCGAGCGACGTCTCAAGGGTTTTCATGCAACAGTAAAGATTTAAATAAAGAGCCAGTTATCTTTATGAGTAAAGCGTCATGCGGTTTCTATGGAATGCTGGTTTTTGCATGGCAAGCCGCCATCTACCTTAACGCATCTTGTAATTTTTTAGTAGATTCATGTTGGCATGAAGGATAGGTTGGTCATGCTGAAACTTACATCAACAAAAAGCGTTGCGCAGAAGTGCATAAATTCAAGTCATCTTTACAAAATCACTACGAAAAAATGAATCGAAGATTGGTATTAAGGCAGACAAGAGTATTCGAGTTCAAACAGGATAAACAAAGTGAATGATAATGAAATGTCAAAGACAGCAGTGTATACATGTCTTCATCTTGGCCCCATTTTAATCTGTATAATCAAGAATCTCCAGTCACACTATTTTCGTCTTTGTTTCGTTTTGTTTGATTGCCTTGATGTTATAATCTTGAGTGTAACAAATTAGATGATTGTTGACTAATGCTAGGTCCTCTCTTGTTAGTGTATCTTTTGTAGATTGGGTACTAATAAACACCCGGTAATGTGTTCAAGTATCATTTTTGTGCCGGTTAGCATAGCTGCAGTTGGATGGCAGCTGCTTATTTTTAGGAATATTAAGATGTTTGTCCATTCAACCAGGTCTCAAAGCTGCCTAGTTCTGGTTTTCTACTCTTCTTGACATTTTTAAGAGAACTACCGAATTCTGGTTGAGCCGAGGATGTAATGATCAAAACCTTCTTCGACACTTATTGCGAGACATTATTAGTATTTAGTTGTAGTCTCATACTCATCAGACTTCAGTCCACATTTTATTATTTGGGAAGTCGAACCAAACCTAGTGGGTCAGTGACCGATGAGGTCTCTTCAAGGATACAAAAGGCTCGCCTGGTTCTCGTCACTTAATGCTATTTATGTTACCGTCCTGATATTCGATTGCCTATTGAGGGCTGAGTGTACCGTGCTGCAGTTCGTCTGTTATACTATATGACTATGAAACCTGGGCGTTAAAGGTGGAAGACACGAGAAAGCTTCGGGTGTTCGATCGGGGTTGTCTCCGTAGCATAGTACATATGTTGTGTTGCCAACGTATCAGTAACGTAGAAGTTAGGTGTGGTTTCAGGTAGAAGAGCAACGTCAGTTGAGGTTGTGGACCTTCATCGACTTAGGTGGCTTGAACATGTGCTGCACATGCCTAGTCACTGTGTAACCCGATACGCGATATTCCTCAGATCAAGTTAAGCTTGGGAAGACATTAGAAGCTACTAGACTAAAACATGCCATCAGTCTCTGACGTCTTTTACTGTTTACCTGAAAGGTGTAGGGAAATGTAAATTTTTCGGGTGGAGTCTGTGTGATGGTCGACATCGATGGTTAAAGATTCATGATTCAGAATGGATCTCAGTGGAGTAGATGCATCCGCTCATCTTGTGATCGCCATATCTAATTTCGTTACTGTTTTACTCCCTTGTCTCTTGCGAATTTTAATCACGTTATTCTTACCTATTTCTATATCACTTTTGTAATATAATCTTGATGTAAGTTGTGGTAACTCGACACATAACGCAGTGATGCCGGGTACAGTGTTGGTATCATTATTATTTGCCCCTTAGGTTCCTAGTGGGACATAGGGCTTCGGTAGCACGTCTCCATTCTACTCCGTTCTCTGCAATCTTTTCAACCTGGCTCAGCGACTACCCAAAAGCTCTCATTTCTTCCGCACACGATCTCCATGTCACCCTCGAACGCCCTACTCGTCGTTTCCCATCTGGGTTCCACTCAAGGGTCTGACGCGTGATGTCCCTGAATGGTCTTTTCAGTGCATGCCCAATCCATCTCCACTTCCTTCTGCATATTTGTTGAGCGATAGGTTCTTGGTTGGTTCGTTGCCAGCCAGCCAGAGTACCTTGTTGCTTATTCTTTCTGGCCTTGAGATCTGGTCTTCAGTAACGAGCCAGCATAGGCAGTTGTTGATGAATGTCTGTAGTTTGTTGAAAACCCCTTTCGTAACGCTCCAAGTCTCTGAACCATGATATGGAAGCACTGACTTGAAGTTGGTGTTGAAAATCCGGATCTTGTTCCATATGCTGAGTGCAGAAGATCTCCACACTGGTTTCAGGCTAATGAACGCCTGTCTTGCTTTTCCGATTCTGACTTTGACATCCTCGTCTGTGCCGCCTGTAGTTGAAACAGTGTTTCCTAGATAGGTGAAGGAGGCTACTTCCTTCAAGTTTCTCCCGTTGATGGTGATTGGAGCTTGTTGTTAGTGGTGGCGTTGGTTGGGTATTATCATCACCTCTGTCTTCTCTACGTTCACTTGAAGTCCCGTCTTCGCTGCCCTGCCTCCTCTGTCAACTTGTTAGTGTTTGCCTGTAGATCTTCAAGTTTGTGTGACATTAGATACAAGTCATCGGCGAAACCCAAATCTTCTAGGATGTTTTCCCCGGTCCAGCGTATCCCCCTCTTCTCTCTCCTCACTGTTTGTTGCATTATCCAGTTCACCACAATTAGGAAGATCATTGATGGTGATAGTAGACAGCCTTGTCTTGCTCCTGTCTTCACTTCAAAGGCATCACTGAGCTTCCCACTGTGAATTACTTGTCATGTGGCGTCTTCATATAATTGTTGAATGAGGTTGATAGAGGTTGTAATATTCCTTAGTGTTGAAGCAGTTTCCAAATTACTTGTCGGTCGACGCTGTGGAAGGCGTTTTCAAAGTCGATGAAGTTGAGCTAGAGAGTTGAGTTGATTGCCATTCTGTATTCTGTTCTATGATGATGCGTAGCGTAGCGTTGCGATTTGGTCCGCACATGATTTGTACTTCCTGAATCCAGTCAGCCTGTTCTGGTTGTAGTTTTGAATCCAGCGCATCCTTCATTCTCTCCAGGATGATGCGGCTTAATATTTTGCTTACTTTGGGTAGAGAGGAGCATGATTCCACGCCAGTTCTTGCAAAGACTTAGGTCTCCCTTCATCGGGAGTTTGACAAGGTATCCCTTCTTCCAATCTGCAGGTACCTTTCCTTCCTTCCAGACCTTCTGTAATAGTGGTGTGGTGCGAGCATGTCCGCTGTTGTCTCTGCGTCTGTTTTCAGTGCTTCTGGTGGGATCCATCTGGTCCTGCTGCTTTTCCGCATTTCAGTAGCCTTATGGCGTTCAGGACTTCGACTTTCGTCGGAGGGCTTGTGTTCACTTGTGGTTCTGTGGCTGGGGTGCTGGTGGTATTTTTTGACGAAGTGCAGGTGGTGGTCGATTCAAGAGCTTTTTGAAGTGGTCGGCCCATCGTTTCCTTTGTTTCTCTTCGTTGGTAGTTAGATTTCCTTCATCTTTTATTGGTTTCATGTGTGTTGATCTCTACCCTGGCAGATAGTAACCTGGTTATTTGATACAATGTTGTCAGGTCTCTGTCTCTCCTACCAGCCGGCAGCCTGTTCTGCTTCACTTGTTAGTGTGTCGTAGAAGCGTCTTTTGTCTTTGCGCACACTCTTCACTTCTTTGTCTAGTGTAGTGTTTTATAAGTTGTGTTCAGTTCCTCTTCTCGTTGTTCATCCTTGCACTGGTTTATCTTCTGCTTCTTCATCATCCTCCTCTCCCTGCTCTATCAGCTTCCATGTGTCCGTCGAGATCCATTTCATTCCTTATTTTCTTTCTTCTTCCTTCCTAATACGGTTATGCAGGTTTCTTTCCACATCTTTCAAAGACTTCCAGTGTTCTTCCACACAGGTTTTTTCAGGGATGTTGCTCGATATCTCCCATTTTGTCTTGATGGCTGCTGTGAAGATTTCCTTTGTAGTTTCGTCCTTCAGTTTCCGAGTGTTAAACTTGAACTGTGGTCTATCACCGACTTCTTTGAAGGTTTTCAACTTGATTTGGAAGGTTCCTTGCACTAGACAGTGAGTGGTCTGAACCCACATCTGCTCCTCTTTTTGACCTTGTGTCAAGTAGGCTGCGTCTCCACTTTCTTGAGATTGAGATGAAGTCGATCTGATTTTTAGTGTGTCCTGGTGTCTGGTGAAATCCATGTTGCTTTGTGGATATCCTTGTGCTTGAACACAGTGCCTCCCTCCAATCACCAAGTCGTTGAATGCACAGAATTCTGCAAACAATTCTCCATCCTTGTTCATCACTTCACCGAATGCTTCTCGACCCGTGGTTAGTTCTCTCCCTACGCTGTCGGCTGCCAGTTTGGCATTCATGTCACCCATTAGAATTTCGATATCGCCAACTGAGGTCTTGTCCAGTGCCAATTGCAGTTGTCTGTAGAATTCCTCTTCCTTCTCTTGATCTGCATTATTTTTAGGTGCGTAGCATTGTATGATTGTGACTTTCCTTCCTTTTGAGTTGAACCTTGCTGTCATAATTTTGGAGGAGATCGGTTCCCACTGTATGAGTGCCCTTGATGCCCTCCGGGACATCATGATAGCCACTCCATAACTCAGTGTGCTAGTGGTTGTCGTCTGGGTGACAATATCGGAGTAAATTATTGACTCTCCAGTTGACAGTTTGAAGAGTTCACTTCAATTCCATTTGCTTTTGCAGATTCCTAGCACTTCTATGCTATATTTTCTCATCTCTTTGGCAATCTGAGCAGCCTTGCTAGTTTCAAACATGGTGCGGACATTCCATGTCCCCACGTTTACTTTCGCGTTCATCGAGAGAGAGAAGACACATTGGCCAATTGGCTTCGCGAAGGCAGGCTTTCACCAACCGGCGTCCTTTCGCCTCTCCGATTCCAGCGGGGAATAAGTTTGTTTTTATTTTTTATATTTTGTCTGTGCTTTGAAGTTTCTTTAGCGTTTGGATTGGTTTTGCGGGTTAGGGTTGCTAGCCGTGTGCCCAACCTTCCCTCTTTACCCGTGCTTAGGACCAGCTAATAACTAGTGAACTAGTTAACCACGCGAGGTTACAGCGTTGGTATAGATATGATGTTTATAGCATTTTAATATCATTACGAACATAACCACCGAGTTGATTGGGATAGGCAGATTGTTAGTTTTATGATCCCATTGTAGCAGGAGTATAGTTTGAATAATTCGAAATATAGGCGATTTCCTCGGACTGAATAGTATTAATTATTATCAGATCTTCCGGGAAGTCATATTTTCTGACTTTTTTTGATGGATACTTGTCTTGTGGAGTGCTTTTATCACGGCCACACGTTTACTCTATGTAGTTTGGCGAATAATTTTATAGATAAGCGTCGTGTCACCTGTAGACTTGCGATATTCAAAAGACGGAAGAAATGAGTGATAATGGTATAAGAATGCAGCTTTGTAGATGTTCTGATTAAGAATTATAGGATGTGCTTCAAGTGTTTCAGAGCGACACTGTAGGACTGGTTCGCACTGCGGTTTTTAAAAATAGTTGAATACATGGATCACTTCCTGTACGTAGTTGGCTATTTTTGCAGTTACAGATAATTTAAGTACAGAGTCTAGTCTACCAACCGTACATTCCTCAAGATTTTTTCTGAAACGGCGTTGAATAAATGACAGACCCATACTTTCTGACTAATTTTGATGCAAACACTCATGCTGTCTGATAACTTTAGTCATCAGAGTATTAGCTGCATCCAGTGGAACTACTCGTAGGGTTTCAACTTTACCTAGAATCTCAAGAAAGGGAGATTGCGAAGGTGCATTTAGGGTTCGACTACGGTTAAGTGACGTTTCAAGCACACACTCTATCTGCTTATTTTTATTTGAGGTATATTCTCAGACGAAAAACGTATAGGGTAGGACCAGGTTGGAAGGGAGCTGAAAGTGGGCAAGGTAAAGTTCTGACACCAACTCATCACTCCTTTGAATATTGGTGTGAGTTATGTGGGTAGATAGCAGCTGCCTGGCTGGGGTCGTCGAGATAATAAATATCAGTGGTTGGAGACCTGATCGGTTACCGTGGCGATTTATGTACTCTTTGTCATCCTCAATGTTCCGGACACTTCCAGTGATCTTCATCTGTTTATTTCTTCCGCTCTCACACTTTTGTCTACTTAAGTGTCATTTTTCCCAACCACTTCTTTGCATGACGCAGTGAAGTATTGCAACTGGAACTGATGCAGTTCTCTGCGAAGTTCTACGCTGTTTCGTTTCTCTGTTTGTAGAAAAGTATGGGCAGATTAATAATTGCCAGTAAGTTGTGAAGGATTTTCATAATGCTTTATCTATATGATTTTTATCCACAAATATTTGATGCGTAAAAAATCTTCCCAGGCACCTGGATTGATTAAATACACTTTAGGTTACATTCAAAAGTATCGGCTATGGTACTTTTCGTCTTGGATGCGATGAAAATTTCAGTTTTATTTCATCTCAACATAGATGTACACAAAATATTTAAAATATGCTACAACCCCCCAAACTCACCAAGTTAAACAGTCTTTACATTCATGCAACAACATAATTAAATAGTCGTGTAATGATCGTGACGAAATATAAGCTATACTTCCCACAGAAGCATTTGAATATTGTTCAAGGCAATCAGTAAACTACCTTAGTAAAACTTTTGAAGTTGTCTTCCCGGGCTATTAACTCATATCCTTGTTATTGCTTTGACTTTGGTGTTGTGTTGAACTACAAAGGTATTTTAGTGATGACAAGTGATATCATCTTAACCTGTTTAATTATTTTAAAAAACTCAGTGTCTCTTAGATTATCAGGTGTATCTGCTTCACCGTTTTAGATTTACTTGATCATGTAAAAGAATCTGTATTTCCCAATTTCAGTTGCTTAGATTGTTGTCGAAACTGTCGAGGTCCGAAAGTGTATCATGCACGTGTAGTTAATGTTGGTAGACCGTCAAAAACTCAAAAGTTTCCTTCAAACCGAATCAATAATCAAAAGTATAATGTGATTAGTTTTATTCCTGTGGTGAGTTCAGTGAAATTGGTTTTACCTTTGGATATTTAATTCAACATGCGTAAATATTGTTAACTTATATCTGTGAGAATTAATTGTTAGTGGATACTACTTAGTATTACCAGTTGATTGGAAATCTACATTTACTGCTTTTACGTGAATCTTTGCTGGGAATTCCCCTCATTTCTTGATACTTATAGCAATCATAGCGAAATTCAGTTCGTATAATAAATAAGCAATAGCGTTTTATTTACTTGCCTGTGTGTGTTAAGTATTGGATTGATTTCGAAGATTGAAACGTGAAATTGTGCTTTTTACGTACCTGCTAACACAGTTGCTAGGTTGTGCTTGTGTGTAGCTCTGCGCCTCATCATGGTTCTATCCTTGTTTAATTAGCATGAATTTATTCATGTACTTAAATATGTTTTTTTAAAAAGTTTTGTCCTCGGAGAACTTTGTTTACTTGCAGCACCATGGTGAAGGTACTTAGTACGTTTTGGTAAGCTTCCCAGTGATCACAGTTTTGTGCATACTATCTTTTCCTCACTTGGTGAATTTTAGAAAAAAAAGTTACCTCATTATTTTACTCAGTTTCAATTCATAAAAAAGTTGAGCAACATCAGAAGTCGTAAAAAGAATTGTTCATCTGTTTGTTCCTTTAGGATCTTAAGGCCTGTTCAAACTATTAGTTTGGATTCGAGGTTTTTTAGTTCCTTTAGGTGAATTTTACGAACGATACTTTTTTTCATTTGACCGACAACTGCAGCAATGATGGGATCAGTGGATTAATTCTTCAGAATCAAGAAGACATCTGCACAAAATATGGTATTACTGAATAACAATTCTAGTTACTACACCTCATAACAGAGCATCAAAGTAAAGTGACAAGAAACAAGACAAAAGAAAGATACTACTAGAAATCGTAACATAAAGGAGAATATATGTTGTGTTACAGTTTAGTTGAAGGTAAAGTACGCGAGCGTGACAGATACACAGGCTGATCACTAGTCCTTTGTTCTTGTTGACTACCCATGGGTGTGAGACCGAAAAAGAACACAGTAGATGTTATTTATTCCAAGGGGATATAATACGCACGCTTAACAGACAGCTAACTTCGTACGCAACGCCCACCGACTCCAACCCAGGACGAAATAGAAAAGACTGAACTGGATGGGAGAATTTATTGCTATGTGAATAATAGTCAATTAACCCAAACACACGTGTATGTGTACATGAGATATGACCCTGTCCAAAGTTTGAGATACTAACAGTAAAAGTAAAGTGAATTACCTTAAAAATAAACTACTTTCCACGCCGCAAAATATGGCGCAAAAACGGTAATTTCGAATGTTTCGATTAGGTAAAAATTATTATAATATTATTATTTTATTATTTGTCCCCTGGGTTCCTAGTGGGACATAGGGCTTCGGTAGCACGTCTCCATTCTACTCCGTTCTCTGCAATCTTTTCAACCTGGCTCAGCGACTACCCAAAAGCTCTCATTTCTTCCGCACACGATCTCCATGTCACCCTCGAACGCCCTACTCGTCGTTTCCCATCTGGGTTCCACTCAAGGGTCTGACGCGTGATGTCCCTGAATGGTCTTTTCAGTGCATGCCCAATCCATCTCCACTTCCTTCTGCATATTTGTTGAGCGATAGGTTCTTGGTTGGTTCGTTGCCAGCCAGCCAGAGTACCTTGTTGCTTATTCTTTCTGGCCTTGAGATCTGGTCTTCAGTAACGAGCCAGCATAGGCAGTTGTTGATGAATGTCTGTAGTTTGTTGAAAACCCCTTTCGTAACGCTCCAAGTCTCTGAACCATGATATGGAAGCACTGACTTGAAGTTGGTGTTGAAAATCCGGATCTTGTTCCATATGCTGAGTGCAGAAGATCTCCACACTGGTTTCAGGCTAATGAACGCCTGTCTTGCTTTTCCGATTCTGACTTTGACATCCTCGTCTGTGCCGCCTGTAGTTGAAACAGTGTTCCTAGATAGGTGAAGGAGGCTACTTCCTTCAAGTTTCTCCCGTTGATGGTGATTGGAGCTTGTTGTTAGTGGTGGCGTTGGTTGGGTATTATCATCACCTCTGTCTTCTCTACGTTCACTTGAAGTCCCGTCTTCGCTGCCCTGCCTCCTCTGTCAACTTGTTAGTGTTTGCCTGTAGATCTTCAAGTTTGTGTGACATTAGATACAAGTCATCGGCGAAACCCAAATCTTCTAGGATGTTTTCCCCGGTCCAGCGTATCCCCCTCTTCTCTCTCCTCACTGTTTGTTGCATTATCCAGTTCACCACAATTAGGAAGATCATTGATGGTGATAGTAGACAGCCTTGTCTTGCTCCTGTCTTCACTTCAAAGGCATCACTGAGCTTCCCACTGTGAATTACTTGTCATGTGGCGTCTTCATATAATTGTTGAATGAGGTTGATAGAGGTTGTAATATTCCTTAGTGTTGAAGCAGTTTCCAAATTACTTGTCGGTCGACGCTGTGGAAGGCGTTTTCAAAGTCGATGAAGTTGAGCTAGAGAGTTGAGTTGATTGCCATTCTGTATTCTGTTCTATGATGATGCGTAGCGTAGCGTTGCGATTTGGTCCGCACATGATTTGTACTTCCTGAATCCAGTCAGCCTGTTCTGGTTGTAGTTTTGAATCCAGCGCATCCTTCATTCTCTCCAGGATGATGCGGCTTAATATTTTGCTTACTTTGGGTAGAGAGGAGCATGATTCCACGCCAGTTCTTGCAAAGACTTAGGTCTCCCTTCATCGGGAGTTTGACAAGGTATCCCTTCTTCCAATCTGCAGGTACCTTTCCTTCCTTCCAGACCTTCTGTAATAGTGGTGTGGTGCGAGCATGTCCGCTGTTGTCTCTGCGTCTGTTTTCAGTGCTTCTGGTGGGATCCATCTGGTCCTGCTGCTTTTCCGCATTTCAGTAGCCTTATGGCGTTCAGGACTTCGACTTTCGTCGGAGGGCTTGTGTTCACTTGTGGTTCTGTGGCTGGGGTGCTGGTGGTATTTTTTGACGAAGTGCAGGTGGTGGTCGATTCAAGAGCTTTTTGAAGTGGTCGGCCCATCGTTTCCTTTGTTTCTCTTCGTTGGTAGTTAGATTTCCTTCATCTTTTATTGGTTTCATGTGTGTTGATCTCTACCCTGGCAGATAGTAACCTGGTTATTTGATACAATGTTGTCAGGTCTCTGTCTCTCCTACCAGCCGGCAGCCTGTTCTGCTTCACTTGTTAGTGTGTCGTAGAAGCGTCTTTTGTCTTTGCGCACACTCTTCACTTCTTTGTCTAGTGTAGTGTTTTATAAGTTGTGTTCAGTTCCTCTTCTCGTTGTTCATCCTTGCACTGGTTTATCTTCTGCTTCTTCATCATCCTCCTCTCCCTGCTCTATCAGCTTCCATGTGTCCGTCGAGATCCATTTCATTCCTTATTTTCTTTCTTCTTCCTTCCTAATACGGTTATGCAGGTTTCTTTCCACATCTTTCAAAGACTTCCAGTGTTCTTCCACACAGGTTTTTTCAGGGATGTTGCTCGATATCTCCCATTTTGTCTTGATGGCTGCTGTGAAGATTTCCTTTGTAGTTTCGTCCTTCAGTTTCCGAGTGTTAAACTTGAACTGTGGTCTATCACCGACTTCTTTGAAGGTTTTCAACTTGATTTGGAAGGTTCCTTGCACTAGACAGTGAGTGGTCTGAACCCACATCTGCTCCTCTTTTTGACCTTGTGTCAAGTAGGCTGCGTCTCCACTTTCTTGAGATTGAGATGAAGTCGATCTGATTTTTAGTGTGTCCTGGTGTCTGGTGAAATCCATGTTGCTTTGTGGATATCCTTGTGCTTGAACACAGTGCCTCCCTCCAATCACCAAGTCGTTGAATGCACAGAATTCTGCAAACAATTCTCCATCCTTGTTCATCACTTCACCGAATGCTTCTCGACCCGTGGTTAGTTCTCTCCCTACGCTGTCGGCTGCCAGTTTGGCATTCATGTCACCCATTAGAATTTCGATATCGCCAACTGAGGTCTTGTCCAGTGCCAATTGCAGTTGTCTGTAGAATTCCTCTTCCTTCTCTTGATCTGCATTATTTTTAGGTGCGTAGCATTGTATGATTGTGACTTTCCTTCCTTTTGAGTTGAACCTTGCTGTCATAATTTTGGAGGAGATCGGTTCCCACTGTATGAGTGCCCTTGATGCCCTCCGGGACATCATGATAGCCACTCCATAACTCAGTGTGCTAGTGGTTGTCGTCTGGGTGACAATATCGGAGTAAATTATTGACTCTCCAGTTGACAGTTTGAAGAGTTCACTTCAATTCCATTTGCTTTTGCAGATTCCTAGCACTTCTATGCTATATTTTCTCATCTCTTTGGCAATCTGAGCAGCCTTGCTAGTTTCAAACATGGTGCGGACATTCCATGTCCCCACGTTTACTTTCGCGTTCATCGAGAGAGAGAAGACACATTGGCCAATTGGCTTCGCGAAGGCAGGCTTTCACCAACCGGCGTCCTTTCGCCTCTCCGATTCCAGCGGGGAATAAGTTTGTTTTTATTTTTTATATTTTGTCTGTGCTTTGAAGTTTCTTTAGCGTTTGGATTGGTTTTGCGGGTTAGGGTTGCTAGCCGTGTGCCCATCCTTCTCTCTTTATGTGGTCTTGGCGAACTAGTTTAACAGGAGAGGGTGGAGGCACCTGCGGCCGCCGGGTAATAATATTTGTTGGGCATTGCGAAAACATCGATATGTTTCAAGTAATTGGAGAGAGAACCACGTGATCAGCGTGACAGCAACGTGCTAGGTGGTGTTGGTGCTTTACTGTTTACCTTCAGTCTATCCAGTTCATTAAAACTATGATGGTCAGCATGAAAGTTGAATCTCGCCGAGTTCTAGGGTATTAATTTTGAGAGTTTTTTGCCACTACAAATGCATTAGCATCGCTACGACTAATTTTGAACCAAACCACTGAGAGCGCATTTATTAATGGTTATGAAGTATCAAGTTTTTATTTTGAATCAATAAGGCTGAAAATCTACATTCATCTCCCTTTTCGCGACCATGGAGCACGACAGAGTGAACTCTTGCTTAGCACATTAGCTGAATAGTTGTTCCTTATATCGTTGTTGGGATTTTGTCAGACACAAATCAACTAGGGATAATAGAAGTTCCCACGGAAGTTAAGTGATCAACATGCTCAAGTATTTCACTCATTTTTCCTTCCGACTTGATGAAGACTAGTTGGGAAACATCACTTCATACTCACTTAGCAAAAAAGGTATTGTGTTTCTTCAGTATGCTCACTTAATTCCCTCTTCAAATCCGAGAAGTGTTAAACCAATAAATTGGTTCTTCGAATGAAAATGAGCCAAATTATGTTTTTCTTATTTTCTCCTATTTTTTCGTAGGTTCTATTTGAACAGTTCAGTGTTTTTTTGAATCTCGTTTTTCTTGTGATCGCATGCAGTCAGTTTATCCCTGAGCTTGGAGTTGGTCATTTGTATACATACTGGGGACCACTTGGTTTTGTGATTGCTGTAACAATGATTCGAGAAGCAGTAGATGACATTGGTCGATGGATACGAGATCGAGATGTTAATATGGCTATGTATGGTAAATATGTACGCAATAAAGAGATCTCTGTTATGAGTTCCGATATTAAAGTAAGCCTTCTAGTGTGTTTTGCGGGTTTAAATAATGTTACTGTTTCTGCTTCCGTGTTTTTTGAAGAGATTAATATTTTGCAAGATAGAGTCTCAAAGTTTTGTGATAAGCTTGTGACATGTCTGGAAAGTATGACTGTCCTTCCAACCCTTTGTATTTCTTTTTACTTAAACCGTAGGATGGATTTTTTTTTCAAAATTACTCGATTTATTCTGCTCACTGCATATCTTTTGGTCGAATTTAGCCATATCCTGAAAGAATAGTTAGTGCTGACAATGGTCTAGGCGAATTAATCAGTTTTTTATATGGAAGAGCCAAATTATTAAAAGTTGTAACGTTCTGTGGATAGCGATTGTCTTGCTGTTTTTTTCAGGGTTTTTAGAAATTTGTCAGAGATTTTCGAGAAAATATTTGAACTGCCAAATAGTCTGTGTGAACGTAAACATGCACTTGGTGATTTCTGGTGGCATTTGTACTTAGTACCGAAGTCAGGATCCCTAAACATTTTGAAAAAAGCTGGATCGCAAAAATTTAAACTGTTTTTGTATTGCAAAACTGTTGACTAGTAGTATATATCAATTGAGGGGTTGTTCCTCAATTATTTTATTTTACTTAGGACAGTATGTTAAATACCTTTTCGAGCAATTCGGCTCTGCACAGCAACAGGAAATTACAAGCATCATAACAACAACTGATACCCGTTGCAAAAGAGTAGACTATCATGCCCCAGTGGACAACGCTCTGGCATGTGAAGCGATGGGTGCTAGGTTCGAGCCTTTGGGTGGTGGGGTGCAGGTATATCCAGCTGCCGAGTCTCAAATAGGACGGAACGCCGTGTCTTGGATTCCTCTACTGTCACCAAGATTAATATCTTTCCACTTTGTACAAAACCATAAAAATTTGTTTCAGCTCAGAATATACCATGCTTATTGAAGATAACCAATTTCAGTTTCTCTGTCAATTTTTCACTGCACACTATCTTGACTACTCGTCAGTGATAGAAAACGGCATCATCCACGACATCATTATGGATTACATGGATGATGTAACAATGTAATGTATACAGAATGTAAACATAGAAGAATAAGGGACAAGTATCATTTTATTCTTTGTACAAAAACACTTTCCTAAAAGCTGTTTTTGACGGAATCTTTTTAACTTACAGTCTGTTTTCATGGTGCCAGTAATATTCTTACAGCAATACCATGGAACAATGTCAAACCGATGGGAAAGTTAGTGATTCGACCTGTGAAAATTTTTAAGTCTGTTACAGCTCGAAAGATTCAATCTTAATTGTTGTTTATCTTTATTTTTATACATAAAATAAGAAAACTGCAAAATATTATTACTAACTTGAACTCTGGTGTATTTTTAATAATTGTGTCCATTAGGCGGTGTGGTCTTCATAGACTTCCCTACTTAGCTAGTCTTATTACATCAAGAAATGGTAATGTAATACATTTATTTTTCACTCCGGGGTCCTTTCACTCACTGATAATCAAACATTCGCATAGTCAACAAACAATCTTAAATATGAAAGATTTCTTAGTAGCACACATCAAATGTCTTCCAGCCAGCTGTTGAAGCTAATACTGAAGTGGCGACGTTTTTCTCCTACAACAATAGCTGTTCCACCGGGATATGTAAGATAAAATCATGAATTATATTTAACTCACTTTGTTTCTTTTACAATCCTTTCTTCTTACCTTTATAGGTCGGTGATCTTATTCATTTAGAGAAAAATCAACGAGTTCCAGCTGATATGATCTTAATGTGGACATCAGATCGCAATGGTTCTTGTTTTATTCGAACAGATCAACTAGACGGCGAAACTGACTGGAAACTACGTTATGCTATACCAACTACTCAGGCCTATATAAATCGTTCAGATCACCCTAGTTCACTTTGGAATATGGAAGTAAGTGTAGATTTGTAATATCTCATTTCCTTTTTTGGTGGTAAATTTTTTGAATTGCTTCAATTCATAATTGCAATCGAATTCACAGTCTGAAGCTAATTCATAAGTAAGAAGTATATATTTGATTAATAGTGCTTATGGTTATGTTAAAGACGATTTAGAAAGAATTCTTTTCAAGTTAGTATTCATTATGGACTGATTGTTGTGTACTGATGGAAGTTGGAAATATGGACCATTAGATTCTGACCCATTGGCTCGATGGTAACGTGCTGACCACAAAATCTGAAGGTCCTGGTGGGGTCATGCGTACGCACCACTGAGGAGTCCCATACTAGGATGAAACAAATCTACAGTGGTCCCAGGTTTCCAATGTTCCTGCAACTGATGTCAGTTCATGATGAATGCCAACATGAAATCGATGAATCCCCACAAACCCTCAAATTGAATGTATTTTCTTATCAGCTGATTTTTACACCTTTAGCGAACAGTTTCCTTTCAGCATTAAAAATTAATTAGAATAACTCACATAGCAACTAATGGTTGCACTGAGTTTTGTTGTCTGTATATTAATTTCAAACTAAAGTCTCTGTCACTGTTTTTACTTTGATTTATCGATATTAATTCACTAGAGTTTTACCATTTGATTCATAAAGCTGACTCAGCAGAAGTCACTCTTTGGTATTACGTATTACATACAAAATAGTTATTAAAACTGATCAACAGCTCGAAAAGCAGCTACTGTCAACAATCACTAAGTGATTGAAGCTAAGCATGCCATCTGTTGAGCTAGTTAGTTTAAATCCTAATAGTCACAGAGCTTAAAGTTCCTCATTGCTCCATACCCACACGTACTGAAATGAGTACGAAGTTGTGGACATGCAGCTCAGTGGTTTGTGGAGATGACTATCAACCATTGGGTCATGGGTCCGACCCCCTGCTGCAACTACCGAGATTAGGCAGCCGGATAGTACCACTAGCCCTCACACAATAGGTGTGGTTGATTGCCTACTGCATGGATGTGCACAAGGTAGCTGAGTGCGTTCCGTTCGTTTGAGTACGAAGTTTAGTACTGAGGAGTTTATAGTTGTTGACTAAAGCAGGATTCCTCCGTCGAAAGAAGTATCCGATTCATTATTACTCCTGAATACCAACTGTCAATCTAACCTGATATATATAATGTCGTCTTGATATAGTTAATATTTCTTACTCAAGAATGGGGAATGAAAATACTGATGGGTTATGGGCCTTTTGATGGAGAAAAAACGGGGACATTTATCCTCGTACTCCATACTCTTCATGAATTTCCAGATGACCAGTGTGTTCCTAGAAACACAAAAAGACTAACCGGAAATTCTTGGAAACCCTCAGCACAACATTAACCATGACTTTACGTCCTATTATGATTCAGTCAGTTAATCATTATCAACACGGAACCTCACATTATTGCTGAACCTCACACCTGGACGTTAAGATACACGGTAACAGGACGAATAAAATAAGCATTGGTAATGGAGTGAACTTTCCGCAACCATGCTGACTTTCGTATAGGACTTCAATACTAGTCAGGTGTTTATTTACCTTGCCCTTTCTATATTATTACTAGAGCTTTCAATAAAACTGGTTTCTTAGCTTCACTGGTTGTACATACATGACTCGAATAAGTGTTGGCAAACAATGATGATCGTTAGGATGCTTACGTTTTATCAGACATGCATGACACATACTCCTTTATACTTTCTGGGTATGTGCATGTGTAGTTGATTATTATCAATACTTACCTTATTTTGATGTATTGCCTAACATCTGGTTTTACTATACTCATTATTTTCTGTCTATTATTTAGGCTCAAGTGTATGCTGAAGCTCCAAGACAGAATATACATAATTTTGAAGGCACGTTTGTTCGTACAGATGTTAGCTCTCCGTCACCAACAGATCCAGAGTCCTCAGAAGTTTCACTGAATATTGATCATACTCTTTGGTCTAACACTGTACTAGCTACAGGAAGTGCTATCGGTCTAGTGATATATACTGGGTCAGAGACACGTGCAGTGATGAACTCAAGCAGAGTACGCACAAAACGTGGAAAAATCGATCAAGAAATCAACAACATCACCAAACTTTTGTTTTGCATCCTGGTTCTGTTAGCTTTAGTTATGGTTGCATTGAAAGGTTTCAGTGGATCTTGGTATAAATACTGGTGGCGGTTTATAGTTTTATTCTCTTACATTATTCCACTTGCGTAAGTTTTCTTCTTGTTAAATTGTTTTGCTAATGTCATTCTCTTGAGTCTGCTATTTTATGGTCACGTTTTATTGATCTATTTCGTTTTGTATGCTAAACCATGCATTCATTACTATCTGTCGTAGCACAAACTAAGTCATATTTTTCTATCTGGTGATTATAATGTAACTCAACCCAATGCTACTATTTATGTACTAGGTCATTAGTCATTATTATCCGGTTGCCGAGGTCGAAGTAGGTGGAGGGGATTTAAACCCGAGATATCTTGGTTGAAAGTCAAGTACCTTAGGTCAGTGAACCTCACTGCTTCGGAATTTCAGCTATTTAACGTAAAGATATCGACGTTGATTTCGTGTCTCTCAGCACTAATCGAGAAGGGAGATCTGATTGAAAATTTTTTGAGTAATCGTTGTAAAATGATTAAGACATGCGCATATTAAGACTAAAGATGGAATATGTTGATAACAACCGAAATTTCTCACACCAGATGTAGACTGCTCCATTCCGTTAAGATTGTAATGTGGTTTATTGCATAACTCAGTGAGGACTTTTGTCCTTCACGTTGGGTTTACAGCGTAGTCATTTATTTTTTGGTATGTAACAGTGATGAATTTTTGTTGACCATAGGTTCCATATTGCAGTAGTTTTTGTAGATCGAATAGCCATTTGGGAAATTCATGAATCCTTTAAAAGAGAAAGTCGAATACTTAGTCATATGTCATTTTGTCTGACTAGTTTATTCTATCCTTTTAACTTCGGCACCCTCATAGATTAATGTAAACTTTCTGTCTACTTATTCATAGCTTTATTCCAACTTAACCTTCGTTATATGTTGTTGAAGTAGGTTTCAGGTGGACAATGTGTGACAGGTGTCTCAGCCACTTCAAACGGTATCGGTTAGTAACATTACCCACTGACTTGTGTATTTTGTCGAAAAAATGCACCTAACCTCAACATCAACCAAGTGGTGGTTCCCTCAAACGCCAACACTTCACTTGGGAAGTCGGATCAGTCCTAGTGAGTCAGTGGCTGACGAAATCTCTTCACGGATACAAAAGGCTCAATTGGCTTTCGCCAACTTGCGTAATCTATGACGCCACCGCGATATCCGAGTGTATATTCGAGCGTACTGTGATGCAGTCCACTCTGTTCTATTGTATGGCTGTCAAACATGGCCATTAAAGGTAGAGGATATGAGAAGGCTTCAGGTGTTCGGCAACCGTTGCCTTCGTAGTATAAGCCGTGTTTCGTGGTGTCACCACGTGAGTAACTCAGAAGTCAAGCGTAGAGAGCTTTAGGAAGGAGAGGTGAGGCAGTTGATGCAGTTGTGAACCTTCATCAACTGAAATGTCTGGGACATGTGTTACATATGTCTAGCCATTGTCTGCCTCGTCGCAAAATGTTGGCCGAAGTAGGTTCAGGCTGGAAAAATGGCTCATGGTGACCATACTAAAACGTGACATCGATGCATGAAGTCCTTGACTGTTGGTTTAAGCCATGCAGGGCGATGCAGACTAGTCAGTTGGAATCCGTGGAACAATACAAACCAGTAATATGGCTTAGTGTCGATATCGATGGCGCAGATGTACCCATACCTTCTCTTGATCTTAACCGCTATACTGAATTTAGCATTTCCTCATTCCTCCTTTCTCTCTTTCACTGTTTTCTGTTTTTGACCGATTATTCTTTATTTATTCATCTTTCATCTTACCACTTTGTTACTTGATGCGCTGATATGAGATGTACCGTTTTGTAGTAATGTTTGGTCCTATGTTGATATTGATGATGATGAAACACTGCTTTTAAGGTACTTTTAATACAACGGTTATATCTTTCTCAAATCGTTCATCTTCAGTGGTTATATTTCACGGCTTCAGAGCAGAGGAAAATAGCTCACTGTGTAGAAGGCAACGTTAAAACATTTTCGTTATGGTGTATGCTGTAAAAATCGATGTGGCGTCTTTAGTCATGACTTCTTTTTACCTGAAATTTTTACTAAATTAATATTTTCCTCCACCTTTTTTTTAGGTTACGTGTGAACATGGATTTAGCCAAAATTGTTTATTCATTTATGATTATGCGTGATAGAGCCTTACCGAATTGTCTGGTTCGTAATACTAACATACCTGAAGAATTGGGACGTATATGCTATTTAATGTCAGACAAAACTGGTACACTCACACAAAATGAAATGGTTTTTAAAAAGTTACATTTAGGTAGTGTAGCATTTGCTCCAGACTCAATGGAAGAAGTTGTACAAGGTGTGCGTAATCACTTTACTACAAGTATTTCATCATCATTGAGTAGTTCAGATCCGTTAAGTCGTCAAGTTCGACGTACAACCAATGAACGTATGGCTGATGCTGTATTGGCTATAGCTGTTTGTCATAATGTTACACCAATGAATGAAAATTATTCAAGTTCAGCCCAGTTGACGTATCGGGTGGAGATAATAAAGAATCTCTAGCTATGGTAAATGTGTAAACTATTATCGCTTTTTCATTAAATGTTTAAGTAGTAATTTTATTTAACCCACCTACTTGATTGAATACCATTATTATGGAAGATTTAATCGTGAGTGAAACTAATCAGTCTCAACCTATTATATGTATGGTTTATTAGGCTAATAGCCAAACAATTCAGCTAACAGCATACTTATCTATTAAGAAAGACTTTGAACAACCTGACTTCACTTATTTTGTCATATTTCTTGGTTTGCTATGTTATGAATATATTTCTTCATAAAAATTAAGATTTTCTCTCCTTTACAAATTTAAAGCGACTAATAGACATGAAGAAAGCAATAAATTAAATTCTGATTTTCTCAAATTTATCGCTGGTTTTTGAATTTACACTTCACATTCTTTTGAAAACAGATTCAATGGTGTTTTAGCTATTAGTTAGTAATTTCTGTATTTTGGAGGCTAGGATATATTTACAGTACATGTAAATATATATTCAAATGTAGTAAATTCTTTGTAATCATCACTTTCTATTTAATAGAACAGTAGTTGTTATCATTCGGAGTTGGGAGAACAAACGAAAATACTTAACGATTGATAATCGAGAGTTGAGACTATTCACCCTGAGTGATTCGCAACGAGAAATCAAACGACTGGCAACCATATCAGTTTATAGTATCTTGGGCTGAAAACGTTTATGAGTGAAGACGGACCTTGAAATACAAAGAATAATTAGTATATTTAAAGAGGCAGGAGCCAATCAGAACAATAGCATATTGCACTCACTGTGTTTACCATTCGATGATTTGAGATGACTGGAGTTTTCGCTCACTTATGCCTCGTGCTCATCGATTGTATTACAGTTGTCCCTTGGTGGGACATAGGGCTTCAGTAGCACAACGCCACTTCACTCTCTTCCCTCCAGTCTTCTTAACCTAGATCCACGACTGCCCATAACCTTTCATTTCTTCCTCACACGATCTCCTCCATGTCACCCTCGCCTCGGACACCCAACTCATCGTTTCCCCTTTGGGTTCCACTCGACGACCCGACCTGACCTGACGCGTGATGTCTCCAAACGGTCTTCTGAGTGTATGTCCACACCAATCTATCTGCACTTTCTTGTGCATATTTGTTGGGCGATAGATAGTTGGTTGGTTGCAAGCCAGTGAGCCAACCAGGGAGAGTTGCTTGTTGTTTATTATTTCTGGTCATGTGATGTGATCTTCAGTATGGAGTGAGTGTAGGTGTCAGGTGTTGATGATGTATGTGTGCAGTTTGTTGGGAATGCTTTTTGTAACTCTCGAAGTCTGTGAACGATGAGATGGAAGCACTGACTTGATTGACTTAGTGTTGTGAATTGGAATGTTGTTGTTTATGTTGAGTGGAGTGGAGTGGAGTGTAGTGTAGTGTAGTAGGTTGTCACACTGATTTCAGGTTGATGAAGTCCTGTCTTGTTGTCTTTCCGATGCTGGCTTTGACATCCTCATCTGTGCTGTCGTGCCGATCGATAGTTACTATATTGTACAACCTCTAAGAATCGAAGCGTTCTTCCTGCAATTAAAAAGTTATGGCAATGCTACTGTATGGATTATTTGAGCAATTGTTATCAGAATCTTAAAATATATTGCGAATAAGTGTGTACTTGAAATCGTATACCTTTACACACTAACTATAGTTTTCATCTAGTAGACATATTCAGCTAATGTATTACATTACTTCTCTTTACAATTTTAGGTAGAACTTTCTGATCCAGTTGGTTATCAAGCTAGTTCCCCGGATGAGGTAGCACTTGTTTCGTGGACTGCAACTGTTGGTGTAACACTCGTCTTTCGTGATGTCCACAGAATGCGCTTGCGCCTACCTAATGGTATGTTTCATTCCTGCTCTTCACTCAATATCATTGTTATTACTTTCATTATTCTTTATCAAATCATTTTAATTCTGATCGTATGTATTTTCATACTATAGCGAAGCGTGTCATGTCTTACACTAATGTCGTTCAGTACTGAGTTCTTGACGTGACCCAGTGGTAGTAACTGATTAATTGATGAATACTTGATTCTGACAACGAATTGCTTATCTAAATGCTACACAGATGTACTGGTACAATTACATTTGACCGGGAGACAAGATAACATGCAGATTTGAGGAGATTTATTCACTTAAAATGGAGAAACTGTTTTAGAAAGATTATTATATTCATATTAATATTCAGGAAAAAGAACTCGTCACACTTCTGACACAATTTCTTCCATTTTTCCACCTACTAACTATATATTTCTTGCATGAAACAATCTGAAACTTCAATAATACCCTACTCAACTGGAATTGAAATCCAAAAATCTTTGGCAGTACTTTTCATACGGTTAACTTCCTTCCTGATAGTTTGGTATTGTTTGTTTGTTTATCCATCTCATAGATGTTTTCCCCTTTATTTCTTTTGCTTTAGAGTCTATTGTCGAATATGAAATTCTCAATTTATTCCCATTTTCATCGGAATCGAAACGAATGGGTATTATTGTTCGTGATTATTCATCGAAAAAAATAATATTCTATGTCAAAGGAGCGGATACAGTCATGAGCAATTTAGTTTCCTATGTCGATTGGCTAGATGATGAAGCTGGAAATCTAGCCAGAGAGGGACTACGGACATTGGTTGTTGCCTCACGTACACTAACGGAGGAACAGTACTCAGATTTCGCCAAACGGTAAATTAGTCTCTTTTTATTTCCTCATATTTACTAAACGTATCAAGGTTTTATTTATTTCTGAGTGCTTTTGTCCTCAGAATTGAACTTACGATATGGGGTGTTTTCTGTTCTAATTTTAATTGGTGTATTATGATCTACGTAGTGGATGATATGCGGAATTGTGAAGCGTTTAGTACCTTTTTACTGGAGCTGTGACTAGTTGGTTTAGGCAGTTGACTTTGAACCAATGGATTACGGGTTGGATCGATACCCTGACGTGCAATGCTAGCAGAAGTTGGATTAGGTGGTTTAAGGTGCCCAGACTAAGATGTGGCATGAGTCAATGAAGTCCCTAACTGCTGGCCTGAACCGTGTGAGGAGATGAAGACTGCGTGGTTGGGGTCCTCGAGATGAAAGAAATCAGTGTTTGAGGATTCTTGGTGACATAGATGAAAATCTATCACAATGACGCAGATGTATTCACTCCTTGATATCTTCTCAAGCTTGAATATTTACGTTAACTGTTATCTTTAGACTGTTACACTACTTTATCTACTTTGATATCACTCCTCTTCTGTCCTTCTGTTCTGTGTGTACTACTGTGGATTGGGGCAACTTTAGTCTATGCACTTGTGTGCGGGATTCTACGTTGATTTTGTTTGTCAGTCAGTCTACTCTACCTACTGAGGTTTGGATAAACAGGTACTATCGTCACCCCTCAAAGTAGGTATGACTCATCACCTAGTGTATAAACATGGATGAGGTTACTGAGATTTCTTTTTCTTTATATCTAAAGCACCTACATGTTTTTATCACCTAATGTTTTTGTCGGAGCTGACTATGTCTTACATGAGATCTACAATCATTGGTGGTACGTTTTTCACAAAAGATTTCCAACTACGTATTCACCTCATAATTATAGATAGGTAAAAAGGTGTTAGCAATGAAATATTGAAATGATTATCAAAAATCAGGCCAATCTGTGTTTAAATCAGTCAATCAGTTGATAAACGACCTAAATTTACTTAAAGTTCAGTCTGTTGATAATGTGCGAAATGATTTGATCTGTGTCACACACCTTCTGTGTAATTGTTGGGCTTACTAGGCGCCTAACTGTTGGTTTTTTTGATTAAATACTGTCAATCGATCCGTTTTCTGATGTCGTTTCAATAGAAGAGGATTTACGTCAATAGATAGGATCTTATGGATACTCTCATAACTTGAGTGTTTCATCTTATCCATTCAGTTGGTCAATTTATGTTGTTATCACTTACTCAGTTTTACTTTTGTAATGGCTTTCATGACTGACTGTCAAAATGAATCATGTTGATTTTAGGCATTATTTTAAGTTTATTTCTGCAATGGACAGATAAAATCAGTTTATTCTGTGTCATCTAAAAATTCATTCATATGTTGCAACAACGTCTACCGGATCCATTAAAAGCCGATGTTTTACTTACATAGTGAACAGTGTTATGAATGCAGAATATTCAGTTGAACAAAGAATGCTTAACCGATCAGCTGATCAGTTAGTATTACAACGAAATGCATAAAATCAGGTGATCAATAATGAATATATCCGTGATCCGAATTCATTTAAAAAGAAAACTAAAATTGGAGTGTTTGAAAATAGCTTTTCTTCCAGGTTGAGATATCTTAACTACTATATCCAATCATAGTACATTCAGATAACAGATCTCCAGTACCAGTAAAGAACAAATACCCAAGATAGTTCAACGGAATATTGATTACTCATTAGTGAAACCAGATCGACTGTAGATATAACAACATTTCAAATTAGTTGGTGTGTAATGAATCAGAAAGAGGACAGGATAGTAGCTTCAGGTCTGCAATACTTCATATGCTAGTTTGTGAGGAATAATCCGTTTTAAAATAGTTTTCATCATGGATTGATAATAGATAGAAAATCATGGGAAATTTGGAGAACTAGACATCTACTCTGACCTACTTTAGGACTCATTAGCAGTGCACACCCAGAAACCCTTGACGAGTAGAGTCCAGAGTCATCAGGTCTCGCGATAAGCACATTGCCATCGGAATTAAATGGCTCACATTTTCCTACTTCTCTCGACTAATGACGTACCATGAAAATCATCCAGTGCAGTTGGTCAGTGTTTATCGTCACATCTGAATTGCATTAAGTGGATTTGATTTACGGAAAAGTAAGGTAAATCAAGTTTACGAATCTTAAAGCGTGTATCACAAGTTTCAAAGGTACCAAACAGTAGTTTAAGTATACAAGAACTATACTACATTGTGTGGGTGAATGGATATAGTAACCAGAAATTAGGTTAGTTCATGATTGCACTAATTAGCCCGAAATCGATCTTCAGTTACTTTGCCTTCACTACCGGTTATATGCAAAATTACTTAATCACATTGTATTGCATCTTAAATGTCTTATACACAAGCATACTGTAGTGGCCTATGTCTAGCTGGTAGACGTAAGAAAAATGGTTTGAGCATCTATTCAATGAATGAATTAGTGAGTTTTGTTTTTGTTAGCAATGAAGTTCTGCCTTAATATTCAACTAAATTTGACATTGAAATGCATCATTGTAAGCTCATTGTGGTTACTTTTGTATAAACTGCAGTGACTAACATTGTACTCTCATAAGTATTGTTGTTTATCTACTTATTATTAAGCTGCTTGTAAATTGCTGGAGTTAATAGAGTACCTATGAATATAGGACTACATTTTCGTTTTTCTTTCTCGGATTTGAACATACAAATTTACAAATAGTAGAGCATAATCTTATTTCTTAAGACAGCACTGTAAAGTAAACTGTCTGATTATACCTTCAGTCTTTTGAGTTTATTGGTTTATGTCGTTATTCGGTTCTGTAAGCAGTTATCACTCAACTAAATCACTTTATCAGATTAATCAATTGACAGGTATTCATATTTCCATAAAAAAGGATAAGAGAATACGAATTGTAAACAACTGTTCATAAGATATAAATGGCTACTTCACAACAATGTGACAATGGAAAATGAACACGAAGAAAATCAGAAATGTGAAGTTAATAACGTCAAGGTCAGAAAAGAACTAAGGTAAACAGGCAAGAAAAACTAGACGAACCTAAAAGATTCAGCAATATATTCAAGATATATGATTGTGTGACTACATCTCTATTACTGTGAGCGATTCTCTAACCGTGTCATTCAAAGTCCTTCACTATGAATTTCTGGTGTCCCCGTTGTTTCCGACAATAATATCCGTCGTTTCAGATAAGACTCAAATCAACAATCAGAAACTTTTAGAATTTGTGCTATGTTTTGTATTACTGACCATGCTGTGACCTTTTCCATCCTCTTCTCACTTTAGTCAGGTTATCAAATTAAGTTCGTTGGTGACCAGTCCGGTCATACTTTCAACTGATACTGTAACTTTCCGTACTAGATGAGTTCACTGCAAATGAGAGATGTTTATCCCCAGCTTCATTGATCATTGCTCATAGTGGCATAGGAAGACAAACTGAACTGTTACACAGCAAACTCACTATTTTATAAGGAGAGTTAAAAATAGTCATCCTTCACGTTAAACTGTATAGCTGCCACTTCATATGTCAATGCAATATGTGTATACGTCTACTTTTAACATACTTGTCTGTTGTGCTTTCAGGAGTGTGTAAAAATGTGCTTATTGATCGAATACGATAATTCAGTTTTGCGGTTTCCCTTTTAGATTTTTCTTCTGTTTATGTATGCATATGTATGCGTATATATATATATATATATATATATATATATATATATATATATATATATATATATATATATATATATATATATATATATATATATATAGAAAGAGTGAGCTGTGTATTCGTGCACATGACTTCATGTATTTCACTGCTAATATATAAGGTTTAAGAATAAATAAAGAAAACCTTTTTCTGTCACCCTTGTTTTTCATTGATTTTATGTTCGCTTACAATTATTGCAGTATCACATAATTCCATGATGTGCTTTTACCACTTGGTTTCAATGTAGTCTCAGGAAAACAGGCAATGTTCTTTATTTCTTATGATGCAATCATATTAAGAAACTTCGTTTTAGATGACTTGTTTATGTGATATTTTTTGAGGTAGTTTATTTTTATTATTTGTCCCTTGGGTTCCTAGTGGAACATAGGGCTTCAGTAGCACAACGCCACTTCACTCTCTTCCCTCCAGTCTTCTTAACCTAGATCCACGACTGCCCATAACCTTTCATTTCTTCCTCACACGATCTCCTCCATGTCACCCTCGCCTCGGACACCCAACTCATCGTTTCCCCTTTGGGTTCCACTCGACGACCCGACCTGACCTGACGCGTGATGTCTCCAAACGGTCTTCTGAGTGTATGTCCACACCAATCTATCTGCACTTTCTTGTGCATATTTGTTGGGCGATAGATAGTTGGTTGGTTGCAAGCCAGTGAGCCAACCAGGGAGAGTTGCTTGTTGTTTATTATTTCTGGTCATGTGATGTGATCTTCAGTATGGAGTGAGTGTAGGTGTCAGGTGTTGATGATGTATGTGTGCAGTTTGTTGGGAATGCTTTTTGTAACTCTCGAAGTCTGTGAACGATGAGATGGAGCACTGACTTGATTGACTTAGTGTTGTGAATTGGAATGTTGTTGTTTATGTTGAGTGGAGTGCAGTGGAGTGTAGTGCAGTGTAGTATAGTGTAGTAGGTTGTCACACTGATTTCAGGTTGATGAAGTCCTGTCTTGTTGTCTTTCGATGTTGGCTTTGACATCCTCATCTATGTCACCCCTGTAATTGAGACGATGCTGCCTAGGTAGGTGAAAGAAACAGAGGTAGTTTGTTATGTAGCCTAAATTTAACTTCTGGTCCAGAAAACATCTTTAGGACTGGGCTTAAACGGAAGCGAAGCTGATGAATTTCCAGCATATGGCTGGTAGGCAAACAAACCAATATGGAACCGGGCATTGAAGTGCATCAGTTCAGGATGCTACGTGTTATAGCCGTACACAGCTAGGAAATGAGGCCGAAGAAGAATAACTTTAAAGGAGACAGAAAGTGTATAGGGGGAGAGAGCATATGAAGGTTCAAGTTTTCGAAGATGGCAAAAAGTGTATATATCTGCCCCATTGTAGCCGATTTTGTTATGCCATGAAGAGTTTCCGGCCAGTGATTTCTAATATCTTGAGGATTCAGACCAGGTAGCCTACATTCTTGCACTTGTCTGAGACCAACAGTTATAGACTTCATACACTAATGTCATATCTCCGTCTAGTCACTCTTAGACTTCGTGTAACTTAAATCTTAATTCGGCTGACGTTCATCAGGGGTGGGTGGAGGTGGTAGCATAGGACTCGCGACATATATGTTCAAGGCATCTCATTCATTGAAGGTTTCTCTGATAAGGTACCCGACTTCGTATCCTAAGAAGCACTATATAGTTCTTGTTGGCCACTTGATTAATACACAAGTTGCTGCCATTACTGATTGGTTAAAAGTTTGTCATCTGATTTTTAAGTTCTTATTCATTAAATCTCTTTGTAATCGACACGTAGACTGTCAGCTTCAATGCCTCTTTCTACTTGAAGGCTAGTCACACTAACAATACGCTAGAAAATTATGACTTTCCTCCTCTCAGAACACTAAATCGCTGACATTTTTTATGAATTAAAGTAGGCAAGTTCAAGTTAGACTATCTTTTTAGCCATTAGGCTGCGCATATTCGGTGCTGAGTTCTAGTCAATCTACTGTATATTGAAGCTTATTTACTGTTATTCTGCTGCTCAGAGTAAATTAAGTTCGAACCATTCATTGAATTAAGTGTCCACAACGTTGTAGCACAAGTATATTGTACGGTTATTAACTACTGGAAAGTAACAGAACGTATAAACAAACGAAGGTTCAATCTTTATGAAGCAATTTTTTGAAGGTAGACTTTATGTATTGCAGTCATACGAAAGTCTCAGAGATAAGTCATATTTCGATGTGCTTGTTTTTTTTTTTTTGCGTTAACTCAGTATCGTTCATTGTTGCGTGGAATAATTTTCTGTAATTATATTGCAAATCTTCATACTTCTTTTTAATATTCAAGCGTTTTTAGCATTCGATACTCAGTTATAACATGTTTCACGATGCTTTTATTTCACCTATTCCCCATGTCTATTGACATAGAAGTCACAGTGGTTATGCTCTCTCATTATGTTTGTTTACATTCTTTTAGGGTTTATGTAGAATTGTGAATTTCAAGAACTGTAGCCAGTTGTATTCAAACTTGAAGTTTATCAGCTACTTTCTTAAAATATGGCTTGAAGAGACGATACTAAGAATTAGGTTTACACAGATTTGTTGTGTAAAACTTTGTTATTCAGCAAATATAATCATACCTAAGTGTCTTTTTTCTCTCCAAGGTTCTTATTTGCTACTTTTTTCTGTCTGAAATTTTAGATATCATGCTGCAAAAATGTCTCTTACTGATCGTGTTGAAAAAATGCAGTCAGTTGTGGCCACTTTAGAGACAGATTTAGAAGTTCTCTGTCTAACCGGTGTAGAAGATCGACTTCAGGATGGAGTAAGTTTACAGAATGAAGTAATGCTACATGTTTACGGTGTAAAGTGTGTTCATTATTGTACTTGTTTTGGTGTGTTGGACAAACACTTTATCATAACCTTATTATCTGACATCTAGCAGTAATTTATCAAGCTAACCCGTGTAAACCTATTGGACAGCAGCTGCGAACACGGAGTTGCAACTGCAATTGACTTGTCGGAATAATTTGATTTTTTAATAATACATCGTTAAACAGAGTAATGAGAAGACAAGGATTATCTGAAGCATGTGATGTATTAGCGCTATACATTTCTAATAATCTGATTATACATGGACTTGTCAAACTATTTATCTGAAAATTTATCAATTTACATGTGTATGTGTGGACACATACATAGGGAGGAGTAATCATGATATGCGGTTAAGCATGGTTGAACATGTACCTAAGTGACTTCAAAAATAAATGACCTCAACAGATCCGATAAGTGCAGGAGGTGATAAACATCTGTCTTCGTCTATCGCTAAACATATATTCTAGAAACTAACCATAGGATAGACATGAAAACAACCTTTAAAGGGGTCAGAGTTGAGTGCTTAAATTTGCTGTAGATCTTCTCATCAAAAAACAGACCCCTTTTATGTATACAAAAATAATTTGTACTCACATTGAACCTACCTTGATAGTATTGATTTTAATTTTCATACCAAGAGTAAGGTGATTAAAGATTTTGTTTTTTCTCTACCCTTCCTATTAACTTGACTGACCCTTTTCGTAAATTTTCATATAAATAGTTCGACAAGTTCATGTATAATCAGATTGTTCGAAATGTATAGCACTAATACATCACATATTTCAGATAATCTTTGTCTTCTCATTACGCTGTTTAAATTTAACTTTTTAAGAACAATACATCTTGTTGCAAATGAACTGATAGAATCACTTAGGATCTTGTACAAAAGTGTATTTACTGGGTTGACCTTTATAGCCGGTACACTTCTCCCCCTAGTTTATTTGAGTAACTTTAACGACCATCCTGGCAACTGCTGAAATGACCAATCACGTTCCGGTATTTCACCCGAAAAAGTACTTTACCATAAAATAAGGGAATTTAATTGGCTGTTTTATTAGTTGTTAGGGTAGCCTTTAAAGTCATCTGTTTATTTAGGATGTAGGAGAAAAAAGAAAGCAGTTGCGATTGTCTGGTACCTCTGTTTAAAAGGCAGTATGTTTGTGTAGCCAAGATGCATTCCTATTAGATTAGAATAATCATTTGTTGGGATCTGATTATCATTTGACTATTTGAGGTAGCCATAGTTCGGTAGACTAGTATTTATGCTGGGTGATGATTGAAGTTGAAATGAAAATTTGAACCGCGGCCGAATTTGAACCAGTGACCACCGGGTTTCTGGCCGGATGCTGTACCAACTGAGCTACAAGGCCCAACTGTTGACCAGTTTTTATTTCTTTTCAATCACTAAGGATTTTACCCGACTACCATGTGAATTCGTGATGCGTTACTACCGCTTGATCGTATTCATACTGGCTGCCTAGTCAGCATTAGTTGAGTCCAGGTGAGCTGTTTGTGCTCTGACTGGCTTAGGAAACAATGTTCATTTATCAGATGAAATCACTTTGAGAAAGAAATCGCCATACGGTTAGGGTTAGATTCCGAATTAATTTAGAGTTTGTAGAGATTTTTATTCCGTCTTGACAGTGGTGTCATATTAACAATGGATAATGGCTAACAGTGGAATCCAGGATGCGGGCAATCATATTAATTTTGTCATATATTTTAGGGAGCATGTTTGAAAATGTATGGAGTGTAGTTTGTAACTTTAAATAAGGTTTTCAGAAATATCTAAATATTAAATGTATCAATGATAAGTTCTTATTTTAGTAATAATTCGAGCAAAATTATTGCCCATGATTGAGCTAACAGTTGGAATATTTTCATAATATTTTACCAAAATAAAAGCTTACCGTTGTTTGTAAACTTTTCATAAAAAAGGTACCTATAATACATTATTCCATAGGATTCCAATAGAATTATAGTATGCATCATGGAAGCATGGAACAGGAATAACCAATCAGAGTACCTAAACACATAGAAACACTTTTGGTGATTTGATTCAATACTGCTGATTGATTAGTATATTCTACGTATGTCTATCTGAATGGTCACAAATCACATAGTAAGCAAACCAGTTGACATCTCTGCATGTCATCTTTACTAATATAACTTAACGTAACTCACCATTGTTTGCACTCACGCGGCGTCTGCTGATTTATTTCCTCAGAGTGGTAACTGAAAATGCTTTCTCGAATAATATGCTTTTGTCAGTTGAACACTAGTTTTTTTTAAAAAAAATAAGTAGCTTCTGCAAATAACCCGTAGTTAACGTTGAAAAGATTCTTCATTATATTACTTGTTTTGTAATGCTACTTGTAATTTCCCGTTGTTGTACAGGGTCGTAACCTAGTGGCTTGGTGGATAATGCTCTGGTGCTTAGGGTGAAGGGTACTGAGAACAACATCACTCACTGGGGTGCAGGTACATCCATCTGACGGGTCACAAATAGGACAAGATGCACATCTTGGATTCCTCTGCTCGTCATCAAGATCAATATTAGTTATTTTTTGTTTAGAAGCGTCACTACTTTCCAAACTTAAACGTGAAAATATCAGAAAATGGGTCATTTCCAAGCGTTTCAGATAAAAAACTGTAAACTTCTGCGAAATTCCAACCCAACTCAACCTATATATATATATGCACGCCAGTTTTACCTTTTACATCAGTTCAAGGCGAGAATGCATCTGTTCAGTTTTCCTCTTCTTTGTCTTGTTATTGCTCACTATTTGATGCATTGAAGATCAGAATTGAAGTGCCTAGGATTTGGTTTCTCGCATCACTGTTTAAGTGTTCATCGTCGAATCCTATTACACTGTTGAATGCGAGTCATATCAAATTTTTATTCCGTTTTTAAAAATTCAATTTTCTTTTTTCATCAAATTTAGGTTCGTCCTGCATTGGAAGCCTTAAGAAATGCTGGTATAAGAGTTTGGATGTTGACTGGAGATAAACTTGAAACAGCTGCGTGTATTGCTAAATCTTCTCGTCTAGTCGCTCGTGATACACCTATGTATATATTTCAGTCAGTCAGCGGTCGAATGGAAGCTCATCTAGAATTGAATGCTTTCCGTAAACGTTGTGATCATGCATTATTGATCACTGGAACATCGATGGAAGTAAGTGGTTTACTGTTAAGTGCAAATGTTGTCATAGAATGTTATATAGTTACTGTGCGTTTTTAGGCTGTTTACTGTCATTATTAGAGAAAGTTACGATGAGCGCTATATGTATCATCTATGAATCAGTTAAACCCATTTATTGATGAATATGAACAAGATTCTTGTTCTGAATCAATTAAACTGGGAAAGTGGGCTGTATAGTCAGAAGTGAGCAGCTTGAATTAAACTAGAGTAATTCTTCCGACTATGAGTCATCACAGTCACTTAAACATAGGTTCGTAAGCCTTCCAAAAAGGTTGCTATAAACTTGATCGTAGAACCATGTTATAACAGTTCTCATTACATGTACACTTTTTCCAATCTCAAAGGATAAAGCAGAAACCGTTATACAGTGGAATGACAAAGAGTCTATCAGCAAACGGTGCACTTCTTCATTAAGTTTATTATTTCTGTTTACTGAAACCAATTCACTGGATGGTAATTAAGGTTTTGATGAATATGGTGGTAGTTATAGTGGTTCGTTGGGCTCATTATTAATTGTCACCATTCATCATTTTTGCTGATGTTTGTGACTACAAGGATGTCATTTTATTTGGTTTGCACTCATGTTATTCTTTGAGACAGTGACTGACTTTACTGTTTAGATATTCCGTCATTCATGTGTTAGAGAAATGATATTTATGTGACTTCTTGACGAGGACAACAACGGTGAGCACAGTAAAGAAATGTTTATTTAGAATATTATACTTACTTCTCACTATATATTACAGCCTTTCAATGGCTATCCTTTATGTGAAGGTTACGCATGTTCTTATTCTGCTTTCTTTCTCCTTTGATTTCTCCTGCTTCCTCTTTTTGTTTTCTTTTGTGTTGACTCATCTGCCTTGCTTCCATCGCTAGGATTTTCATCAGTTGATTATCTGCTCTTGATACTTCCTTCGAAGATATCGAATCGTATTCATATATTTTTATCAGTAGCACACTACGTTCGTAACTGCACCTAACTGGTTATTGGTGACATGACATGTGAAATTTATTTCTAGAGCTCTTAGCATGGTTTATTGATACACAGTGGTTTTTATCACCGCACCATTTTATTGTCTATTGTACACACTGCAGTAATACAATAATACTTAACATGCATTTACAGTTGAAGTTTAACGTTTATATCACTTTTTTCGTTGTCCTGGCAGGCATGTGTGACACTTTTCGTATATGAAACATTTATCTATTTATTTATTTATTATTATTAGTAAACTTGTCACCACTTAAATTTTTATCGTTTTTGTAAAATAATACTCCAGTTCATATATAATGAACTATCTGACAAATATCAAATTTCAAAGGGGTTTTTCGTCATTGACTGACGCCAGTTAATTTGTACAAATCTTCAATTGAAATGTTACATTTAACTATCCTGTTTTCATGCGTATAATTTATGCATATTACTCTAACTTGTGTATATGTTGCACATGTGTATATTGATTGGTTGTACACCATTTTATTCACTTTTTTCCTCGTTCTCTAGACATGCTTACGGTTTTATGAGCATGAATTTGTTGAATTGGCGAGGCAATCACCAGCTGTAGTTGTATGTCGTTGTTCACCAACACAAAAGACACAAATAGTCACTTTATTAAGATATCATACAAAGGCTAGAGTTGCGGCAATTGGTGATGGTGGCAATGATGTTGGTATGATACAAGCAGCTGATCTTGGTCTTGGCCTGTTCGGCAAAGAAGGTCGACAAGCTAGTCTGGCATCAGATTTTAGCTTAGCTCAATTCAAGCATGTGACCCAGCTGTTACTTGTACACGGAAGAAATTGTTATAAGAATACAGCTGCATTGGCTTTATTTGTTATCCACAGAGGTGAGTGTAATTTCTTGATTGTTTTCTAAATTTTATGCGTAATTTTTGCAGATAAGTGTAGTATTATTCAGGAGAGAAAATTCTTCTTACTTGCAACCTCTGTCATGGATTGGTCTGTTACCATAATATCCGTTCGTTGCTCTTATGTTCTACAAGTTGACATGGTCTTTTTTAAAGAAATTATTTGTTGTGTGCACCACATGATGAAACAGTATTATATACTGGATAACGTTCTGGATACGATTTTTTATTCGTAATAGTTTCGTTGTAAGGTGTAATCCTGTTAAGAGAGAATCTTTGGGATTATTTTGTTCGTGTTTTATGTCTAATACGAGAAGGCAGTGCACCGGCATATCTTTTCACATTATTTAGGGGAGGGGGGGTGGGGGGTTACGTTCCAAACTTGGCTATCATTCGGTGACTATTTCGTGTTTAATATCGTCTAAAAACAATAAAATGATGACTTGGTACTGGTTTGATCAAATTGAGCTTTTTATCTTACTGTATTGATGGAGAGTCCAACCTTCAAAAGCAGTTGGAAAAAGAAAAGCTAACCAAGGTGCGAAAACAACAATCATTAAGTTATTTAGCGTTATAGGCAAATATCAGACTTAATTAGGAGGTATATAGCATTTCCCCCTCAAAAAAATGAACAAGTACAATATCACAACTTAGTAACTCCGTCTCTTCGGGTCTGTTTAGCACCGTACCGTTCGAGATCTGTGATCAGATGGTTGCCTGGGTAGAAGCTCTTTCTGACCTCTAGTTTCCCTTGGACTGATTCTGCATTGATCGGAGGTAGTTTTAAGAATTTCAAGTAGCAATTCCAACGGCATCTGAGGTTCTGAGAACGTGGCATAGCGACATCGCATCTAATTTTTGTATCTCATCCATCTTTCTTGCTCACTTTAACCCCATACATCAGAGTTCCACATTGACCTTCTATCAGATTTTTTACCCGTTTTTCTTATCTTTGTCGATAATTGCGAGTGTTGGCTGGGTCTCCCTTGTAGAATTAAATCACAGCATTTTTCCATTGAATTGGTGATGATGGCAACGTGGAACGGTGGCGGGTACGTAGCTGAAACCGTGGTGGCGGCGAAATAATTACCTGAGATCATGATAACAAGTGATTACCTGAAGTAATGCACATCCCGTAAGAGGTGTTTCAAAAAGATGAGATAACAATTGATTAACTGAAGATTTATTTCTTTGACAAAACGTTACAAATAGTGAGAAACGCTGTGGTTATTTTTAAATTCGAAAACTTGTACTTTGACTTATCCTCATCATTCTTAAATTTCTACTGACTTGTTGTTTTGACTCACAGTACAAAATAAACACCTACCCAACTAGAATTAGAAATCACGACAATCTTTAGAGAGTGGATCTTATGTGATTGACTTTTATTCTCCAAAAAATCCGATCTCTATATCTTTAAAATGTCTTTTAGATATAGTGCAAGATTGATGAATGGGACTTGAGATCCCATGAAAGGTTTTCACAAATGATAAAGTATGGTAATATTGAAAAGTATTTTGTTTAATATACCAATAATAATGGTTTGTTTTTGAGGTTATTCGGCAGATGTTGGACAATGCTTTCGACCTTGCTGACACTCAGTAAAGGAGTGCTGGTACCCATGGAAATTCGCAACTTTTCCTCATTCATTCCTGAAATTAGAAATTAAAGGTAATAATAAATAGCAACTGACACCTGTTACGTAAGAGGTATGTCTTTTTCCCCAGTGGCCTAATGGATAACCCTTTGGCGTTTAAAGCAATGGGTACTGGATTCTAGTCTCATTGCGGACATCACTCACTGGGGTGCAGGTCCATTCAGTTGATGAGTCTCGAAAAGGGCAGAATACATATCCTGGATTCCACTAGTAGTCCTCAAATATACTATAATTTTGAATATTTAGGTAGTATCGAGGCATCCATATCCGCATCTGCCAACAAAAGTCGAGTGATTTGATGCAGTGTAGTAAGAGGAAATTACAACTGTCCATAAACAATTGTCACAGTGATCCTTATGAAACCAAATTAAGTACACTTAGATCCAGTTTTTTCTGTGAATTGATCCGAATCAAGGGAAGTTCACCACAATGTTTTATAAGTTAACTTAGCAGCCAGATTTCATCTTTGATTATCGAAATTTATTCAGTGCCTGGAAAATGTGATCTACTCCAGTTATAATATTTGATGATGAGTTCGTGATGAATGCTTTCTATGGTTTCCAAATATTGCTGTTATAGCGTACAAAGAAATTGACAAAATCTTCATGAGAAGCCCCCATATACCTAAAGCCTTCTTCAATCAATCAGTTTGTTTCGAAATTTCAGGAAAAAACTTGTGAACCAACGTGTAAGTATCAAGTTGGTTGAAGTAATGAAACATCAATAGAATTTAAATCTACTAGGTCTTTAAAATTAGCGTAGGCCTTGTATATCTCGTTTGACGTTGTAAATACACCTTCTGTTCTATTATCGCCTTTTCTATTTACAGAGAAACTGACTGATAATTGAGGGCGGAATCTGAAGGTGTTACACTAGGTTCCGTACACACATATAATTCAGGTTGTATCAAGTCACTGGAAAAGATATAAAAAGGTGACAATTAAAACTATATAAAAGTGGTGACTGAAGTTATAAAAATTGTACCCTTTAATTGTTGAAATCGTTATTTATCATTTTCTAAACGAGTTATTTTTTTCAGTCAGCTTTTCTGATATGAACTGTGTTGTGCTCCTTGAAGATTTTTAAAGCGTGGTTAATGTTCACCATAATTTTCTAATCCAAAGTTGGAAGGAATGTGAAATTTCGATTGAACGTTTTTCTTTTCAAGCGGAAAAAATACATTCAATCTAATCAGTATATGACCAGTGATTGTCAGTGAAATTATACAATATCATCTTAATACGAAATCTCTATGAATTTTAGGTATATTAAATACATTGAAAATCTGAAGTTTTCTGACCAATAATTCGTCCAAGAAGTGATGAAGTTGTTGCGTAATATATTTCGGTCCATAGTGTTTTCAACATACTAAGTAGCGAATAAGCACTGGCTTCTGGTGCTATAGGGTCACACATCTGCATTACAGAAAGATATTTTTGAAAATAGATTCTACTTTCTGTTAGGTTGATCTCAAAAAAAGTCGTATCCCACTTTGATTAATTCCAAGTTGTTTTGCCATGTTACTTATTACCAGTAAGTAGTATGAACTATCTAGCATCAGTTTAGTTATATGCAGTTGTTGTATTTCATTCGATTGCACTTTTTTTTCACTTTTCACCTAACAGGTTCAATCATCACTGTTATGCAAGCAATATTTTCAGCGGTATTCTATTTCGTCGCAATACCGTTATTCCCAAGTTTTCTACTAGTTGGTTATGCTACAGTGTTCACCATGTTTCCCGTATTTTCTTTGGTACTTGATAAAGATGTACCAGATCGGATTGCTATTACTTATCCTGAATTATATAAAACATTACAGAAAGGTCGTGAATTAACCTTTAAAACTTATTTCATCTGGCAGTTGATAAGTGTTTATCAAGGTTAGTTATGCATTTTATCAACTTTACAGTTAATACTTGTATGCAGGTGGTTATTCCACATATTTTCAAATGTTTCCAAAGAGTTTCTACAATTTTTCAAGGTTGGAAATCTCAAAATAAACATGTGTTCGCGTTGAATTCTTGTCGAACACTATATTTAAATACAATATTCAATGCCAAAGAACATGAACCATATAAAAAGTAGTTACATAAGCCTGAAGATTAATAATCTTCTGTACTATTTAGACTATTTGAGATAGCCGTGGTTTGTCAGACTAATATTGATAGTGGGTGGTGATTGAAGATGGAATGAAATTTTGGAACCGCGGCCGGATTCAAACCGGGTTCCTAGCCTGGTGGTTGCTGGTTCGAATCCGGCCGCGGTTCCAAATTTTCATTCCGCCTTCAATCACTACTCAGTATCAATCATCTGTACATTTGACTAATTTACTGCATTGGGTTTTTCCTCATTAGTAAATGTAGAGACTGTTAATCGCAACTAAAAACCATAACAGAAAATGATTACAGAAAGGTTAAAACACATCATCGTAACTACCAAATTATAAGTTCAAATCAATTTGGTACAAAAAAGTCATAATTGGATCCTTTTATGCGTTAAATGTTTATCTTTCATGTATTTGAATAACCACGAAAAAACGGAAAAATGTATGAGATATTCTTGTTTATAGAGTTCGTTTTTTATAACTTGGATTGCAATAACTTCACGAATTATTTCCGCTTTTGACAATCGTTTTGCTATTTTCTGAGTTACTCAAAGGAGCATATTTAGTATCCATATTGTTGAAGGTATCTAAGTGATACTAATTAGAATGTGTAGCCTTCCTCACCTCCTTTTTGGATGTTCTTTTGAACGTTGATATAGGGTTCTCAAAACACTTGTCAGACTACTTACTGATCTGCATATGAGAAGTCTTATCTTTAGAAGAGACAATGGCAAGATTGATTTGTTTTTGAAAGTTGGTCTCAATATGGTTGCAGTCAAAATCCTTTGGGAACAATGAAGTCTGTCTGTGATAATTTCAACTGGGTTATCTCCCTTTTATCGAAGGTTGATGAATATCTGCTTTTTACTACAGATGGAGATAACTGGCACGTTTATTATTCTCATCATATTCTTTGTTAATAAGATTTTCTGGATGTCCATTTTACCTGGAAGCATTTATCAAATTCAGTGACTCCTGTCTGACAGGTGCTGCCTTTACTTGGTAACTTGATTTGCCAATCACAATAATTCAGCGAGCCTACGCCGGCTAAGGCGATTATTCCGCGAATCCCTGCTGTACCAGAAAGGTTCGTCGGATTCAAAGTAGTTACCGTCATGTTGTAAATAAACTACTGTGTAGTAAGGTTCTGTAGGTGATATGACAGAAGTAGAGTGTTTTCGAGGATAAACAATTAGCTTTAACCATGTCACTTTCTCTGTTTTGAAAAGATGTATGCGAAAACGTTGAATCGGAAATTTGCACACCTCGTCTGCCACACAGACTTTCATTGCCAGAGGTACAAGTTTCTCTTCAAGTAAAAATGGAGCACTATTAAATCTGAATCGAAAACCCTCAAATAGACAGTGTTTAACTAGCCTCAAGCTATCTTCTGGGCGCCAAAGTTACACACCTCTCGGTCTATAACACCACTTTTTCTAATCCAATTTGTACCCCGTGTACTTCAATACGAAGTAATCTTACACAATATAGGCATCAATTGCACTCCTACTTCTTAGCACTTAAATTATTACATTTCAAGTTTCTTGGTTATTCTTTTGTAAATAGTTTTACATCACTGGGAGTTTCTATATTTCCTGTTGTTGATTTACAGGACTAAACTGATCAGTATCTGTTATCATATAGCACTCATATGTAACTTCTTTAACTCCACCATATATGATTTAGGTTCGAGTTCATGCAATAGCATCCCTATTACAGTTACCTTCTTTTTAAAATCGGGCAATGAACTTCTATAACCGAAATTCTACCATTTCGGGTTCTGAGTATATTCTGTGTTTTTGATGTATGCATATCGAAAATAAGTGTAACTATTTATTTGATCTCAATTGACCCATGCGGTGGCTTCGAAATTCTCCGTTTACTTGCCTTATTCAGTCTTGTATTATTGTTAGGAAGTATACACTTCTTGCTTGATGTCTGTGAGACAACAAAAAGTCGGCGGTTAGAAACTTCGAATGAATCGGTCACTGTATTCATAACTTATCATAGTTTTTATTGCACATTTCGATTTTTGCTTTGTCTGTTGTTTTTTCGAATGAATTTCTAAGACCTTGAATTTTAATTATTTTCATTCTATTTCTTAATATGGTTAAGTGCGATGTGGTAGCTTGGATAGTCACACGGTAGTGTCCAATTTGTGGAGCTATGGTTCGTTAGTTTAGGGGTTCAAACCCCACTCCACTTACTGAGTTTTGTGGAGCCAGATAGTATAACTAGTCCTCACACATTAGGTGTGTCTCATGGGCCACTGCACGGATATGCATCAGGTAGATAAATGCATTTTGTTAGTTTCGGTTGTCGGGTTTTATGTTTATGTCTATCTATTCATCTGCTACAGGTATCCGTTGCGTCTATAGACAGTTTCAACATACCATTTTTTAAAACCTCATAAAAAAATTGGAAAGTTGTGGTCAAATGGGCTAACACACTAGCATCCAGTCTATTTCTATAGACGATTATTAAAAAAGAAATCGAATATTAATTTTACGTCACAATAAAGACCCCTTCAAGTGGATCGAAATCAAACCGGTGTTCAGTTTGTTTTCTATTTTATTTTTAGTTTATTATCAGTTTCTGATAAGTAGGCAGCCGTTTCCCGTGATGTGACGCGAAGCAGTAACACTGTTCCTTACATTTTTTGATAATTTTCTCTGCCTAGTGGACCAAATTCATTTAGTTTATTAATGCATTGAATTGATATGATAGGGAGTGAAGTGGTGGAATGTGTCGATCACTTCATTTACTTGCGAAGTTGCCCGGACGGACTGACGCGTCGCTGATGGAATCTCATCTAGGATACAGAAGGCCCACTTACCGTTTGCCAACACGCGGTACCTGTGGCCTCGGTGAGATATCCGACTATCTATCGAACGCTTCAGTCCATTCTGTCCTGTTGTACGCCTGTGTGACATGGTCGTTCAAAGTGAAAGACATAAAACAGTTACAGTTTTTCGACCATAGGTGTCGTTGTAGCATACCTTGCGTTTAGCGGAATCTCCATCTGAGCAATCTTGAGGTCAAATGAAAGTTACCAGGAAAAACAGGCAAGTCGATTGACGAGGTTGTGAACGTTCGTCGACTGAGATGGCTTTGACACATGTACTGCGTATTCCGAGCCACCACCTACCTTGACGTGCCAGGATAGGGGAAGCTAGATTACGATAGAAAAGGGTTCAGGATAGTTAGACCAACACATGGCACCAATCTATGAAGTCTCTTACTGTTGACTTGAGCCGTGTGGGGGAGATGTGGACTGCCTGCTTGATGTCCTCAAGATAAAAGGAATCAGTGGTTGAGTACGCTTGTTGACATGTATGAAAATCGGTCACAATGACTCAGATATATTCACTCCTTGATGTCTTCTAAAGCTTGAATGTGCACACTAACCGTTATCTTCAGACTGTTTATTGTCTTATGCTAGTTTATCCACTTTGATTGATATCACTCGTGTTCTTTGTGTACTTCTGTGAATTGTGGCAACTTGAGTCGATACACTTGTTTGCGAGGTTCTACGTCGATTTTGTCAGTGCGTCAGTCATTGAGTTGATGTTTCGTCATATATCAGGTTGGTAATCTAGGTGTAAGTGTACCATGATACTGTGGTAATTGATTGTGTGATTTTTAGCCTTTCATCGATATGTTTATGCTAAATGTTTTCTGACCCTACATATCTTCAAGTTGTAGTTGACAGATGGTTTTGGTTGATTACACTCAAGAAAAAAGTTGCTATTGTTCATATCAGATACTTTTTTATCTACCTAGTTTTGTGATAACAAACTGGAGTGATTCACTTAAAGTTTTTCGGTAGGTGATTGATTAGATTTGAATTTTATTTGATGCTTGTTATTCCAACGAGTTTCTTCACCAATCAAACAACGTAAACCAGCTTTTCAATTGATTTTTGCTGATTATATTTGCACTGTATTGCTTGTACAATAAGCAGTTAAGTTTATGCTTAGAGATTATGTTGGTCTGTGTGCCACAATAAAGCTGAATGATTGGAGCAATTGAAAGAAACTTTCTAAACCAGCGAGTTAGGTAAATAGTTTGAAGTCTTCATCATATCGTTATGTCATCGGGGAGATTATGTGAGGGCTGATAAACTTCCTAGAAGTGCAGATCGAAGTTTGTATTTGATTTCTTCCTTGAAGATTGTGGAGTCAATGGAAACTATTGATTTAGAATCAGGTATTCCAGACTTTTCTGTAACCACCAGTTGAGTGATCAGCACCGAATATTCGCCTCTTCATTTTTGTGGAGCCGTCTCCACTACACGAAGGTCAATTTTCCTTTTAGTGAGTGTTCTCGTTCGACATTACACCATAGCAGTTGATTTTGTGATCTGAAGTAAATATTGTGTTTTTTTTCTTGTTAGTAAGCATACTCTCCGATGAAGTTGGCCACATAATCATCACTCGTAAACAATGATCTCCACAGTTGTTGATCACTGTAGTAAGTCTTGATAGGTGAAAATTGTATTTGTACACGGCTTTAATTGTAAAACAGTGGGTTCAAACTACAATAATCGCTAATCGAATAAATTATTTATGATAGTTTTCACTATGTGCAAGATATGATATTGATTTCTTGTAAAATCGAAATCATGCCTTACGTGTCTCACACGAAGAACAAATCAAAAAAGCTGAAGTTTTCTGCATCTTTTGTTGCATTCTGAAATAAAATGAAATTTCTCCCTATGACCACATCATATTGACAAGTTCTCTTACTGATGTCAACTCCTGGTGATATCTATTGACAATGCCGTTATTTAGCATCATTATTATTTCAACTAATTCCTTCTTTATGTTCTATTTCTAGGTAGCGTGATTATGTATGGAGCTTTATTACTTTTCGAGGATGAATTCATCCATGTAGTAGCTATTACATTCACTGCTTTGCTGCTTACTGAATTACTTATGGTAGCGATCACTATACGTACTTGGCATCTGCTTATGATTTTGGCTGAAGTTATAAGTTTAGCTATCTATATAGTCGCTTTGATAGTTATGAAGGCTTATTTCGGTAAGTTTACTGTTCCCATCATAATGAACTTATAATTGTATTGTGTTACTGTTTTCATCTTTCAAATTGTCAATCCTGTTAGTCTTTTTGATGAATTTGCATTATGTAATAACCTCTGTTTTCTTATTACATCCTGAAAGTACTGTTAATATTGACTGACCTAGGAACTGATGTGTGAGATTCTGTTAGGAATTTAGAGAGTTTATAGCTGGTTAATTGTTTCTAGATAGTACTGATATTGCATGATGCTTACTGACAGACAAAATCGACGTAGAACCTCGCAAACAAGTGTATCGGCTCAAGTTGCCACAATTCACAGAAGTACACAAAGAACACGAGTGATATCAATCAAAGTGGATAAACTAGCATAAGACAATAAACAGTCTGAAGATAACGGTTAGTGTGCACATTCAAGCTTTAGAAGACATCAAGGAGTGAATATATCTGAGTCATTGTGACCGATTTTCATACATGTCAACAAGCGTACTCAACCACTGATTCCTTTTATCTTGAGGACATCAAGCAGGCAGTCCACATCTCCCCCCACACGGCTCAAGTCAACAGTAAGAGACTTCATAGATTGGTGCCATGTGTTGGTCTAACCATCCTGAACCCTTTTCTATCGTAATCTAGCTTCCCCTATCCTGGCACGTCAAGGTAGGCGGTGATTCGACGTGCGCACTACATAATGCAGTAGGACAAGTCGGATTATAGGATGAATAGCCGGTTGTTTGTAAATTTTATTGAAATATGTATATAATCCAATATTCGTATTCTTCAATCAAAATCCTTATCACTTTCAAGTATTTTATCAGTTACATGCAAGTGGGTTTGGTTTGCTCTCTTTATAATCTGCCGGTGTATCGTTGTGGTGCGATTAACTGAGTAGTAATGCGTTTAGCTGTGGCATATTCACAAGTCTCTGAAACGTTATCACTACTCTGTTATGCTTTCACTGTCAACAAATTTGTTTTAAATAAGTAGATTGTTCAAACCATTTCATCGTTGGCTGATGACTTTAATGGATCATTCTACTTGATTTTCAAACTATTCATTTAAAAAAGTTCGGTTCCTGAAATGATAACTGATATGTAAAAAAGTCATAGTTAATTAGATCTTCTTTTCTTGAATGTTTCAATTGGCTGGGAGCGTACTTGGGAGTGAATCATATGTATGACGAGTTAACTGAATACGAATTCACTATAGTGATATCAATTTTGTAATGCTAATTAGTAGGTGACCGTTTTATTTTATGGTAGACGAACCGATACATGAATGTAGATTCTGGCATAGGTGTGGATTACATTCATCGGTCATAGAAGAGTAGCCAATTTCATACTGGTTGAGTTCTTTTGATCATTTTGTAATGTGATCAATTATTAAACTAGGAGACGCAGCATTACAATGCACTTTGAATGATGTTAGATGGTGTGAAGCGATCGACAGAAAGCTGTGGATCTGGTCACAGCTTATCTAGAACTTGGAGGAGACTGCTATTTCCTGATAGATTTGAACCTGTATCATCCAGTATTGGAGTCAGAAATTTAACCACTAAGCCATACAGTCCGCAATTGACCTCCTTTAGAACTGGATTAGTTATATTGACCAGTCACTGGGAGTAATCAATTTTATATTGTTGAAGTAAATCAGTTTGAGTTTGTTTATATACAAGATTTCCATTACTTGACTGAAATATGTAGTTTATTGTTCTTACTCTATGTATAACTGTTTACTTCCTGCTATGACTGAAGCATTTTCATCTAGATTGTGTATGGGTAACGGAAAAAATCCAACGGATTAATCACAGGCATGTTTTATGTAAGAGTTAACTGTGCTGCTATTGTATATCCCGGTCTCCTAGTAATGGGAATATATTTTGTACTATCAATCCGACTATTGTGAATCGAGCACTTGGAAAAAAACAGTTACTGATTTGACCTTCTGTTTGGTTTTTTGTTTTACTTAGATTAAAAATGAATTTGTTTTTATTGTGACGCATCCGTGCAGATTTTAAGTGGAAATTAGCAAAGTGCGTGATTGACTATACCTAATCAGAAAGCTTGTCGGAGAAGAGTAGAACATGTCAATTACCAGGCAGGTAATTTGAACAGAGTCTATCTGGGGATGTTTGAAAACAGTCAACAAAATGCTGTAAACCTTAAGACTAATGCGTTGTATCACTCACCAACGGGCTGTATCTTCAGCTTCGACGGAACTGATACTACTTTAGCCACTGGGAACTGTCTAACTTGGGAACTTATGGATTAAATTATTCTGATCTCAGCTGGATTCCCGTGGGGTTAGATAAATTACGATAATAGGTTACTGCGTAATAATTAATTTGTGAAAGCATTGGTGTTCTCAAGCTCGAAATTACACTCCATTTGGGGGTGGTAACGTTTAATGCAAATCACTGTTACTTTGAGTCAGTTATGTTTATTATGATATTAGCTGACAGAATTCGTTTGTCAGTAAGAACTGGACATAATGATACTAAGTTGGTAATAATCATAGACTGACATCACTTGGGGGAACATTGGAAATCTGGGAGCACTGGATGGCTGTTCCGTCCTAGCCTGGGACTTGTCAGCAGTGCGTACCCAAGACCCCACCATCCACCCATCCAAATCAACATAAGACCAGGCATTACTGCGTAACGGCCCGAGTTGTCTCTGCTCACATCAGTACGTCAAGTAAAAAGGCAGTGAAGTTGAAGATGAAGAAAAGAAAGTTTAGTCAAAAGAAATACAGAGTACTAAAAGAGATCAAAGGAGAATGAGAAAATGGTGAGATTCGGTATAGCGTCTTTAGGATGAGGATAATGTGCGCACACATCTGCGCCACTGACTTCGGTTCTGAGCCATATCATCTAGAGTCTCCAACCATTGGTTCCTCTTGTCCCGCGGACCCCAACCGGCTGGTTTGCATCGCCTTGCATGGTTCAAACTAACAGTCTGGCCTCCTCGAGGCCTTTTCAAGCCTGGACCTACTTCGACCAACATTATGTGACGAGGCAGACGGTGACTAGGCATACGTAGCACATGTCCCGGCCGTCTCAATTAATAAAAGTTCACAACCGTGTCAACTGACTTATCTCTTCTCCCTCTACGCCTGTCTTCTGCGTTACTCAGGTGGTGACTCCACGAAAGGTGACCTCTGCCACGAAGGCAACGGTGTTCAGATGCCTAAATTCTTCTTTAATGGTCATGTTTCGCAGCCATATAGTAGAGGAGAGCAGACTGTGGGCTCAGTACATTGGACCCTTAATAGACAATTGGATATCGCGGCGGCGCCACAGATGGCGTAAGTTGGCGAAAACCAGTCCAACCTTTTGTATTCGTGCAGAGATTTCATGAACCATTGAGCCACCGGGACAGGGCTGATCCTACTTCCCGGGTAAGTGAAGTGGCGGACACGCTCAACCACTACACTGTCTATTGTTAGCTGTGATACCGTTTAAGACCAATCCTGAAGAAACCATTTGCATTTGGGTAGTGAGAAACTCATCCCAAACATTCTCAACTCGCCACTCAAAGTGTCCAGTGACAATATGGGATCCACCAGGGACCGAACCTAGAACCTTTGGGTTCCGTGACCAGTACGTTACCTTTGAGGTAATTGGTCGGAATCCATTGGTGCATATTCTCAACTTCTATCAGTTCACAACATAGCGTGACCATCACCCAGTATCATCGTTGAGTATTTGTCCTCATGTCCACCAGGTTTTGCCTCACTGGTCACATCTCATTGAAACTTCAGGAATCACCTCTCGAAGCTAGTCAGTCACCAGTGAGCACTAGATTAATTCAGTTTGGTGGTTTGTGAAGACTTATTGATTTCAAGTTGGTATTCATCATGGACTAACATTCTCCAATTGATATCATTCCATGATGTGTACTAACTTGAAATCAATTAATCCCCACAAACCTTGAAATAGAATACTATTAGTTATTGCTACCGAGTGGCTTATCAGCAGGAATTGGATTTCTATTGGCGGAAATTGTAGTACTCTATGTAATCTGTACAAATTGACCAGACTGATAGAGTCATCCTGCCACAGCTACTTAAAATATGCTATATTATTTGTCCCTTGGGTTCCTAGTAGAACATAGGGCTTCAGTAGCACTTCTCCATTCCGCTGTCTTCTCTACAATCTTTTGAACCTGGCTCCACGACTGCCCATTTCTTCCTCACACGATCTCCTCCATGTCACCCTCACCTCAGACGCCCAACTCGTCGTTTCCCCTCTGGGTTCCACTCGACGACCTGACCTGACGCGTGATATCTCCGAATGGTCTTCTCAGTGCATGCTTAATCCATCTCCGAGAAGACCATTCAGGGACATCACACTCTAGGCACTCGAATGGAACCCAGATGTTTTATACTTACCAAAAGTTGTCAATTTTCAACATCTATTCACATTAATTGTATACATTCTTGTTTTTTTTTTTTCATAATTTCATTTCAGATTCAGTATTTCTCAGGACTGTTGGATTTGTTTGGAAAGTGTTAGCTATTACAGGTGTCAGTTGTATCCCAATTTTAATATTGAAATTTATACACTATAAATTTAGACCATCTATCTACTCTAAATTACAATAATTTTCTGTTTGTGATATAATGAAAAAAAAATGATACAGAAGACATTTACATATCGAATATTTGTTCATTAGAACAATAATTTAATACATAACAATAATCTAGATTTCCGTGACATTTACTTTTACTTATTTTCATGTGTAACTTTGTCTTGTCATACTTTTTCAATTTATGCGCTTGTAAGCATAAAAGTGGGAAGGAAAAAGGTTGTTTGTAATATAACACCCTATGTCTTAATTTATGATGGGGCTTCAATCAATACCAGTTTCACTACTTTTACAACCTTTTATGTTTTATCCATCACATGATGATAATACAGGCGAAACTAATTACACATTATCTTATTTCTCTAAAATATAAGATTCTACTTCTGTTTTATCAATAAGAGATAAATGATATATACTGCCGAAAAATTGCCTGTTTGTTTAAGTATACACATAGGTATGCATACTAAGATCTGTGATTTGACCAGACATTTTAAGATACACTACGGATGATGTTATATGTTGTATCCATGATTTGTTTGTTGTTATTTGTTTTATCTCTTTACAGCTGATTATATTGTTGATTTTTAAAAAAATCAAAATTAACACCCCCCTCCCCACACTACCGTTTTTTGCTGTTACTATTATCCGTACATTTACTAACTAATGTGCCTGTGATTATGATTGCTGTTCGACTCTTATTGGTCAACTCTATTGTCTTATTTGTATTCTGTGGACTTTTTCTTTATTCAAATTCATGTTGTTTCTTGATCAGTGCAGTGTGTATTTTGTTTGTTTTTTAAATGTCTCATTGTTTCAAGAAATAAAGAAGACATAGATGTAAATTGATCATTGATTCTTTAATGTGTATATGCATACACTGTTTTGACATGTTTTTTTTTTGGCATTCAGTCTACCAACGATAACATCACTTTTTCTTTTTGATAGTTCGTTATATTCGGTTGTTTTGTAGTAATGCTAGTAACTTGACTGAAAGATGAAGACAGTGCAACAGATTCCTGTCGTACATGTTCTTCTCAGACCAGTAGCCAAACGATGTGTGACAAAAACAACTGATAAAATTAACGTAGAACCTCGCACACAACCATTCAGTCTACATTTGCCCACACGGCTCAGGTCAACAGTAAGATACTTCATCGACTGGTGCCACATGTTGGTCTGGTCATCCTAAACGCTCTTCCAACCTAATCCAATTTCCTCTAGGATGCCACGTCGCTGCTGTGGCTCGGCATGCGGAGTACATGTCCAAGCCACCTCGGTTGATGAGGGTTCACAACCTCATTAATCGACTGGCTCGTTCTCCTCCTAGTACCCTTCGTCTGACCTCAACATTGCTCACACCGTGATTCCACCAAACGTGAGGTTTGCTACGAAGACATCTGTGGCCGTTTCGTATCTTCTTCTTCTAAAGGTCATGTCTCACAACCGTACAACAGGACTAAGTGGACTGCAGCGCAGTCTACTCATCCTCTGATAGATAGATAGTCGGATATCTCACCAGTTAGTGCCTCAAATGACGCAAAAAGACCTGTATCCGGGTTGAGATTCTGTCAGCCCGTTCGGCGGGCTGATGCAACTCTGCAAGTAAGTGAAGTAGTTGATACATTCCACCACTTCACTCCCTATTATTAAACTGGGAGTGCTTGCAACAGACCAGTCCTGGAGCATCATCTTACATTTGACAGGTGCTAGCGAAACGAATTGCGGCCAAAAATACTCACAAGTTCAGGAAACCCTGCATTTTGTCAGTATCTTCACCCAGCAGGACGATGTCGTCTGCATACTTCAAGTTAACATGATGACCTCCTGGGAGTAGGTCATTTCCTGAGAAGTCAGACGTGCCTAAGGTCACGTTTATTTGTACGTGTATATAGAAGTTGAATATGAAAAGTGACAGTTGGCATCCTTGTAGGACACCATTAGTTGTCAGTTCATATGTCAAATCTTCATAAGGCCTTAAACGGTTGCGTGAGTTCGATTAAAGAACTCTGATTAGTGTTATATGCTTGCTCGATACTCCTTTCACAGTCAGACGCTACCACAACATCTCACGGTTGACAGAGTCATATGCCGCATCCAGATACAGAAATATGGCAAGTGTCGGTCGTTGGGCGGCAGATATACCTGTGTTGCAAAACCTGTCGGAGGCTGGAAACATGATTGATGCAACCTTATCTAGGCCTCAAACCTGTCCGGTTTTCTCGAGTCTGCTATTCTTGAGCTGCAGTTAGGCGTGGGATAACTATAGATTCTAGGATCCTAGACACAATGTTAGTCAAACTAGTTCCCATATGGTTGTCACTAGGAGATTTCTTTCCCTTCTTATAGACCGGGATAATCAGTGAAGTAGACTAGTCAGATGGCAATACCTCTGATTCCCATAAACTGCACAGCGCCACCGTCGCTCTTGTCAGCAATTTCCTACCTCCATCCTTAAGAACGTCAGGTGGCAAACTCTCAGGTCCCGCTACTTTGCATAGTTTTAGGTTCGATACAGCTTTCTCAACTTCGAGGAGAGCTGAAAGGTCGACGTCTATATGTCCCACTCAGGTTCAAGCAGGAAGCTGCATGACCGAAGCGTTATTGAGGGCCAGTTAGACTGTGCTTCGAAATGTTCTGGCTGTCTGGTTTGAGAGGTTATCAGCGTTGCATCCTTTTCGGTGATGGTCTCACTAATCGTCGTCTTCTTTCCGGTATTCCTAACAGTCTGAAATAGTTGCCGAATGTTACCCTGGTTTATAGTAATGTAATCTGTCTATGGCCATCATTGGTTTGAAGTTACCGGACGCCATGTGAGACAGTGTCTGTCCTTATGCCTGAAGTTAGTTTTGGCCAGAAACAAGCAATTGTCGAAACAAAATTACAACAGACGATCACTGCTGTCGATTCGTTGACATGGGATTCCCTAAAGATACTTTTCCGATCGGTTCAGCTTCCCTATTTGAGCGTCACCTGGCATTATAACTATATCTGAACGTTTTGCATTCTGTAGAAAAGTTGGCAGCTTCCCATAGAATTCACCCTTTGCATCGTGCAAACTACAGTCGTTGGGTGCGTAAGCGGAAATTAGGAATAGACATCACTTAGTCTCACGATCCTTCCTAGTCCTTACAGATCCATTCAGTTGGAGAGCACAGAGACGGCTGTTGACTGGTATTCAGTTGAGAAGCGCACTTTCTGCTCTACAAATCAATTTTATGTCTACACCAGCTAGCCATTGGGTCTCCGGATACCCGTAAGGTGAATTTTGAAGATTGGCTGTAATGACCAGGTCAGGTCAACTTAATAACCACACATGGTCTCTGCCTACGTGTCTCAGAGACATGGCATACATCCATGGCTGGAGGTTTTAGTTTTGGGGAGCAATGCTTGCTATCCGAATTGGCGTAGATTTCGGACGTTGAAAGCTGCTACATGAAATCGATGGCGTGGGCTTAGGATACTAGGAATGAGGTCAGTGATTGCAGAGTGAGAAGTTGGATAAGATGTAAAAGGTCGAACATAAGCATCAGGAGGTGAAGGAAGACGAGGAGACAGGGTTGAGGAAGGAGTTGAGATAGGTCATGTTTGAGTGTGTCTTGTGTACTATTGGAGGCGTGCAGGTGGTTGACACTTCCCGGCTACCTGTACTACAGAAGGCTATTTCTTCTTAGGGTACCTGAAAGATGAAAAGATTTTTGTGACTGCAGAGCTCATGGGACATCTACCAGAGGTGGTCACATAGCTTTTTGTGGGTTGCTCTTTTGAGGTCTGGTTGTTTTGAAGTCGGATAGAGAGAACTCATACCACCAGCACCAGAGGACCGTGGGGCTCTTTATTTTCCTGCCGTTGAAAAGGCAGCATCAGTTTGACACTGCTTGTCATCGAAGGGAAACAAATTACTGCTGTCACACCCCATCCAGCCAGCAGCAGCACGACTTCGCCGTCGGACCCATTTCATAGTGTAATAACTTCCAGTTCAATGGTAACTGCTTTTCATCTTACCATTATCCAACAGACATTGTGGACATGGTACGACCTCGAGTGAACAAGCGTTCCACCAGCATATAGCTCTTTGGATCATTGTAATATACAAGCCCGACAACCACGTCAATGTAGCAGCTGTCGTTGAGGTCACCAAATGATATGTGGGTTCGTGGTATTTTATAATTTGATTACCATGCGCTTTCTCCTGTCACACTTCTGTTGAGAGGACAAACTAAGTTAGACAGTCAGGAAGTTCATTATTACTTGCTTATGATTGCAAAGTTTATCATGTAGTGATAAAATTGCATCCTTTCGTATAACATGTAAAATATTGGTGAAATGCAAGTTTAAATGCTGAAGTTACGACAAATTTTTTGAAAGCCTTTACTTTCATTTGTGGAGGAAGATGACAAACATAGTAAGATGCGATATTGATGTGTAATGATTTAAGTTACCATATTTCCCACCAGCAGACTGAGATGGAGTGCGGTAAAACAGAAATCAATTTCGTATCATCATACTCATCAAATGCCGCCTTCAAGTCGAGAAATACAGCTATTGTCGGGCGTCTGTAAGCATGCCTATGTTCCAGGACCTGGCGCAGTGTGAATATTTGGTCGATACATCCACGGCCAGGTCTAAAGCCTGCCTGCTTTTCTCGGGCTTGCTGTTCCCGAGCTCCACTCAGGCGTCGGAGAATTATAGAACCTAGGATCTTAGACACTATGTTCGTCAGGCTGATTCCTCTGTGGTTATCACAAGAGGACTTCTCGCCTTTCTTGAAGACTGGGATGATGAGTGACTTAGACCAGTCAGAGGGGATCGTATTTGATTCCCATATACTGGCTAACACTTCCGTTAACCTGACTAAGAGCACTCTACCACCATTCTTGTATACCTCAGCAGGTAGTCCGTCTGGTCCTGCTGCCCTTCCTCGTTTCAGGCTACCTACCGCTTTCTCAACTTCTTCTAGTGTTGGGGGCCTGTCTCTTTGTCCCATTCAGGATCCGACTGGATAGCGGGCAGCGCAAC